AGACGAGAGTAAAGAAAGAAAGTTGGATGAGGACTATGAGGGGCGAATAGTAAGCTAGTAGTAGTTGTATACGTACGGGTGCGACGCCACTGCAACTTAGAAGGAAGCCTGTCCTAATCTGGGATAGCATTTTCCATGTTCAGCATATCCAGTTGGTGAATACAAACCACAGGCAGTCACAAATCCGATCGAAGCGTCACAGAAGCATGCGCGCTGATGGCTGCGAATCAACCCTTCCACGCGTCCTTTGACTCCATCAGGCTTTTACCTTGCCCTATATCGTAGATCTGCAGTACTGAAGAGCGACTACCGCTTAATGGAGGAACAGTGCAATTTCTAATTTCAGAAAACAAAACGAGAGAATCGTCGCGTGCAGGAATTTGGGAATCAAGCACTTGCAAGTCACATGATCAGAAAAGTCAAAGCCCGCGGACCTCATTACGTAAATGTTATGATCACACGCGCACGTGGTAACGCGCTTCTCAACCTCGTCCTGCTTCAGCAAAAAACAGCAAAGTCAGGTCTTCATGGCCTCAAACGTTCAAACTTTGCGCTTGAGACGCAAAGAGGACCCAAAGCCATCTTTGAAACCTGCACGCCATTCTGGTATCCTACAAGATCAGCTTCGCAGGTATGTTGCTTCGTCTTCTTATTTACCACTTCCCATCCATGATTTCCCGGCAGGTCCGCTCGTAAACCATGGAACCCAGACTTTTTGGCAGCAGTCCGCATTCTGTTGCTTATCCGAGTAGCAGCAGCCATGTATACCAATATACAAGATTGTGATGAGGGTAAGTAACACAGAAACTCGTGTTTATTAATTCTCCAAGTTATATCTCACGTCAGTGTTTAATTTTTGGGAGCCATTACACTACGTCGATCATGGTCATGCCTTCCAGACATGGGAAGTCACCCCAATGTATGCCGTTCGAAGTTGGGCATATGTCTTGTTGCACCTTATACCCGCACGCCTCCCCCTAATTCTTAACCTTGGAAAGGTGAGTTTTCGTAATATGATTGCATTTACTATCCCGTTGAACTTACCGATGTAGCGCCCTTCATTCTTCGCAGTCCGCATAACTTTAGCCGTTGTATCTACGCTTTGCGAAGCAAAATTATGCCGCACTGTAGTCGAAAAAGTTAACGAACGAGTCGGTCGTTACTTGTTTTTTATGCTACTCTTCAGCGCAGGCATGTGGAATGCCGCTCCAGGTAGGTTTTTTTCTTCATCTTTTCGTCAAAAATTTCGTTTTGACTGAGTACCCACACAGCCCTCTTACCTTCTTCTTTCGCAATGTACGCAACTACAATCGCATTTACGTATTCACTCGAACCATCAAGCATCCAGAACAAGCGGAGAACCTTATTTGCAACAATGCTTTTCGCCACAGGTGCTATTGTTGGATGGCCTTTTGCACTTGCTCTGTCACTGCCTTTTGTGTTTGAAGAATTACTCATTTTCGGTGGAGATCGAGTTGAACCAAGCTCGCGCAAATCATGGATGATTTCTCGCTGGAAACGCTTCTTCATCGCCGGACTTGTATCCACTCTGATATTTGTAGGCAGTCGCTGTATATCATTCGCTCATATTAAACCGCTTTTGTCCCAGGTTCCCGTCATAGCGATTGATAGTGTTGCGTATGGCGGATGGAATATTGTACCTTGGAACATCATCCGCTACAATGTCTTTGGTGGATCCGAACGTGGTTCTGATCTATACGGCACAGCTCCCTGGTACTTCTACATCCTGAACCTCCTCTTGAACTTTAATGTCCTCGTGCCTCTCGCTTTTATTTCCCTGCCTGGTCTTGCAGTTACCTATAGGATCGATCGCAAGCGGCTCGGGATGTTCAAACCTGGCCCAGATCAGAGTTCTCCGTTCACGCTACTCGCCCTTCGTCTAGCACCACTATATGTCTGGACGGCTATCTTAACCGCGCAAGCGCACAAGGAGGAACGTTTCATGTTCCCTGCATATCCCCTCATTTGTTTTAATGCAGCCGTGGCCTTATATCTCATCCGCGGATGGATGGAAGTCGCATACATCTCCGCCACCAAATCCTCATATAGGGTATATCTATGCTTATTGTCCACACATGCATTTGCTTACGTTTACTTTACCTTACTGTCACGATAGGCTTCAAGATCTATCATATTTGGTGCAACAACGTGCACCGTGATTGCCGTGACAGGGCTTATCTCCCTGTCTCGCGTCCTTGCCTTGTGGCATTACTACCATGCGCCGCTTTCTGTGTTCAGCTACCTCGAGGCCCATGAGCTTCCGCGGCTGCTGAATGTTACTGGGCTTCTCCCACCTCTTCCTCAGGAAACGGAAGAAATTGACAGGCCTTCCATCGACTTGGCACCGATAAGGGCGTTTGATCTCAGACTTTGTCTAGCGAAAGAGTGGTATCGCTTCCCGGGACACTACCTAGTTCCCAACGGCGTGAAAGTCGACTTTGTGAAGAGCGAGTTCGGGGGGCTACTTCCCGCACATTTTGAAGAGAGTCATGCAAAATTGACCTTCAATGGATGGTGGGACAGGCCGGGTTCAAGGATCACCCCAGCGAACTTGAACGACCTTAATAAAGAGGCACCGGAATTTCATGTCAGTAGACGAACAATTCTACCTGAGGCATTTCGTTAACTCTCTTTCAGGTACCCATTGAGTCCTGCGACTACCTTGTAGACCTAGACTTCCCCGAGCACCCAGTTTCATCACTTCTAGAACCGCGATACGCAGTTGACAATGAAACTTGGGAACGAGTATCGTGCCTCCCATTCCTCGACGCCGCACATTCATCACTTTTGACCCGCACGCTCTGGCTCCCTGGTTCATGGTGGCAAGACAAGAACGAGTTCGGAGATTATTGCCTGTTGAAAAATAAGGATATGGTGTACAAGAAAGAGGTCGAGGTTGCGTCGCGTGTGCAGGAGGGAAAGCTGTAAGATACTGTGCGTAGTGACGCCCATGTGGATGTGTGCAATAATAATTGTTGTCAGCCACCGTAAATATCGAATCTGAGAATGCGGCTGACAATCTAGAGATGGATGGTATTGCTACTTGAGTGCTACAGTCATTTTATCTTCCTCCTTGCTGGTCCACTCATTCGCAGAAAGTATGCTGTCCTCAACGCACGTCCGTCTGACCCGCACGTCTTCTGACTTGTGCTTGCTTGCCGCTACACTTTGCCCTCCGTCACCTATTCTCAAATCAAGTGACTTACTATCACCAAGCACGTCTGGCGAAATACCGCTCATTATCGACTTCGTGATTGACAAATTTTCTACGCCCTCGAACTCGCCTCTCAGGTTTGGATATGACGCCGACGTACGCACCCCACCGAAAGCCAGCAGACTTGATATCAACGTAGCAGCTGCACAGGGCAGAGTCTCGAAGTCACCTAGGCCTCACATGACAGCTTCCTCGCTGGCAGCACTGTCCTCTAATCTTGCAAGCCACCGCAGTGTCAGCGAATCACTGCTTGACGAAGTCTTTTTCACTCCGAAGTCATCTCAATCGTCCCAGTCGCTCGTTTCTTCCCCCTCTCCTTCCCCAAGCCCCCTTTCCAAGTCTCTGTTCCAGTTGACACGTATCCGTAGCTTGGCTGTATCGGACTCAGCCAGCTCGTCGCTATCAGAAACCCCCAGCGCCAAGAGTGTTCTCGGAGGCGCGAACCGACAAGCCTGGGTTTTCAACTCGAGAATGACTTCCAATTTAGCTATGGCTCTTCCTGTAGAGGACAAAGAGAACGAGCAAACTATATACCTTGGCACGTCAGCAACATTCTCGACATTGCCGACACCTTCCTTTGCTCCTCCGTCGCCATCGCCTAGTGTAGATGTGATTTCTCCCATATCTTTGACATACTCCAGGAGACATCGCAGACCACTGGAACGCTCAGGAGCCATTCATCACTTGAAAGCCCCTCGCTCAATCCCAAGAACCTCCAGGCTCCATCTCCATGTCCATGAGCCCCAGTCCCCAGTCACCGCACCTGTACCGACAACTCGCTGGCAGCTCACTAACTCCCCTTCAGCAAGCTCCATACATTCGTGTCCTTCTGCAAGTACTTCGGGCGACTCATACATCTCTAAGCATCCCTATCTTCCACGTGATCTGGCTTGGCTCGGAGGGACCGAAGTTGAACTCTGGATCGACCAGGAAGGCTTCCGCGCGATCCGGCCCATGATGCGACTGATGGGGTATTCCCCACGCTCCCGTTCACTCCTCCCATATGGCGAGCGCGGCGTCTCAGCCGACGTGAGCGGAGGCGTTGCGGAGTTCATGCCAGTCAAGCGCGAGAGCTTCGCATTCCACTATGCGATTCTCGATGGTCTGCCGATGCTACGGCGCGTCACTGTGGGCGGGGACGAGTCGCGTGACTATCTCTCCCGGCAAGCGGCGCTGAACATCAAGACGAATGGTGTGTATACCGTTCTCGGGAGCGAGAGCATGGTGCTGGGAAGCTCGCAGGAGCACGTGAAGTTGCAATGGAAGTTCGATTACCTCGTGGAGGACCGTTATACGGATGGTTCGCGGCGAGTGCTCCCCGGCGAGAAAATCATCACGCCATTGACGTTTTCGTGTTCTCCATTCCTGCTGCACTCGATGCAGGGTAAGAAGGTTGGGTTCGTGCATCTCGTGAAGAAGAGCGTCGTACCGAAGTTCTCCGCGGAGAAACTGGAGCCGCCTGAGCGTCCCAAGAATATCGGGCAACTAAACCAAGTGCAACGAACGGCGAGTTGCCGGCGTATGCGCAAGCATGGGCCGTCCAGGTCAGATGCCCATGCGAGCCCGGGAGGCGTTCTTATCTTGGCAAGCGGTGCCCTGGTCGGCAGCTCTCCCTTGGGATCAAATGGTGGCAGAATACTCGAAAGCACCAGACAGATGCAATACACTCGGAGACGGAGGGCCTCGTCAGCTGGAGAACACGGTTACGTCATATCAAGCCTGCATGAGCTTATGTCTGTCCCACCAGTCACTATCGCCGAGGATGCAACGGCCGAGCGACCGAAGATGATCACACTCAGACAAGACCCACCCCGAGCTCGCCTGAACACAACACTGCGGTCTACACCCCATCATGGATATCTGAAAGGATGCCAAGACGATAAACGGCCGGCCCGATGAGAGTGAGATAAGTAGTCGAGGCTCTACTGGTACATATACTACATATACAAAGGAATAAATCATGCACCGAAACCGTATAGAGTGCGCCCTGACCGCTTCAGGGCATAAACGACGTCAAGAGCAGTGACCGTTTTACTACCGTGCGGATGAATGAGTGAAGACTGGAGTGCGTTGTGGGGCTTACCGCTTAGCATGTTCAGTGTAAGTGACAGAGTCGCGGATAACATTCTCCAAGAAAATCTTGAGGACACCACGGGTCTCCTCGTAGATGAGACCCGAGATACGCTTCACACCACCACGACGGGCAAGACGGCGAATAGCCTAGAGGTATTATGAGCGGACGCTTGAATACAGAAGTCTATGGACATACTGGCTTGGTGATACCCTGGATGTTGTCACGAAGAATCTTGCGGTGGCGTTTGGCACCGCCCTTCCCAAGACCCTAAATATTGCACTGTGAGTCGGAGAGGTGACGCCAATCAATATTACACACCTTGCCACCCTTTCCACGTCCAGACATGTTGTAAACGATGAAATATGTGATTCGACTATTGATATGAGAATGCGAATAACACTTGTAGTGCCGACAACGATGGTAGTGAAAGAAGGAAGGCAAGAGTTCAGTCAACGTTCACCGGTCCGTCAATGATACGCGTGTGGTCGTATTTGTGAAATCACGTGACCGGCGTCCGGAACAATTTGAGATTGGCTGGAGTGGCTAACGAACCTTTCTAGGCCCTCTCACAGGCTTCTAGTGCCAGTAGGCACCAGCAACTGATGCTTGCGATATTCTGCTGATCACAGATTCGAAGCCATGCAGCTTTGAACATTTCCTCCGCGGGTTTGGTTTTCTGAACGACGTACTACCATCTCTAGCTGCGTTCATGCTAGCGCTCAGGCTCGGTCCCGCTCCGTATCCCAGTGCGCTGGAACAAGTAGTTCGAAGGAAGACATGTAGTCATTCTCTTCCTCTTTGTATCATCCTTCAATTCTTCACAAGTAGTCAATGGGTGTAACATGCAGCGGCCACATTCTGTATAGACCTTGTGTCTTGTGAGACACACCCATTGTGATCGTGACCGTGGCATTAGATATAAATTCTGGCAGATGAAAGAATGCCTATAGTGTGAGAGTACGACGTGCAAGGGAGATAATACAATCAGGAACACGGAAGCACTAATAGATGTATGAACAAGAAAGAGTCTCAGGTCTACGCAGTCGGTTCCGGCTCTGGCACTTGTGTTGACAGTGAGGAAAGTGCAGAAACGATAGTGTCTGGAACTCACAGGTCCAACCAATACTTTGCATATACTGGTACGCCTCATAGGCCGCCATTTCCTTTGCCAGTTTCTGGTTCCTACCGATACCAAAACCCCGCTCGACGTCGTTCACTACAGAAGTCAACAAATCATTCGAGACTGGAATCAAGTTGTCTTACCTTTACATTTCACCTCCCACCTCGGATCATGCTGCGCACCATTTGCGGAAGCGATCCACTCGACAGAAAACGCTCGTTGATGACAAGTTTGATTGAACAGAGCAAGCGTGCCCTGGGGAACTCCTGAGGGTATTGTGGATGCTTGTGGTGGGGTTGGATAATATGGAGGCGGGGCGGCTTGCGACGTACCCGCCTGAGGGGGTACCGAGACTGACGCACTGGTAGGTGACCCAGGCAGCACCGTTGATAAAGGGCGGTCTCGCGAGTCATCGACCAAAACCGGTGGTTGACCCTCGGGCTTCACAAGTTTGCTGACCCAGTCAGTCGTCGCCTGTAAGCCATCTTGTACACAGACAGCTCCAACGTAGCTGTTGAAAAGGAAACGAGCTTCCTAAATAAAGCCTGAGTGGCGGGCATTTCACATGCATGGACGATCTTCCGTACCTCGGGGTCGTTGAGAATGCCTTTCGCTGCTCCGAGCCTCACACGTTTCTTCAGGTCTGTATCGTACGCGGCAAGCCAAGCAACCATGGCTTCATCGCTTAAAGTTTGCTCCTGTTTGGTCTAGCCGCATCAATGCGATTAAGTACAGGTGGGTAATCAGCAATACGATATCACGAGCACACCTGCAGCTCTTCGCCAGATAACATAGGTCTTTCTGCGAATAATATATACGTCACAATGGTGTTCAATACCGATTTTCCGAGTTGTGCAAGTCTATCGCTATTTCCATGTGGCGTGTGGTCATTGAGGACACCTCCAGTCAAAGCACGATGTGTGAAAACATCAAGCATCAGATCTCCATGCAATGGAGGAAGTGGAGGAACCATTTTGCAAAGTCAAATGATGGGCAAGGGATGTCTCAACCAATTCAAGATCAGTGGCACTATTTATCGATCATGATATAGCGAAGATCAATGGAAGCACAAAGGTGGAGGGCGTAATGACAGCTTCCAAAGAGGGACTTATCTCACCGCATAAATAATGTTATTCAGAACAAAAATGTATTGAACTTATCCGACAGTTGTAGTAGTGACTCTGGTATCCAAACCGATATAAAGATAACTGCCCAACTAGCGGAAACCAGATGGAATGAAGGAGGCTTTGAAAAGAAGAAGAGACAGTTGGTAGAAAATTATACGAATACAGAAGACTCAGATGATATACCGATACATTCCGTTGATATAAGTCCGAATGTTGTCTCTTAGTGGGCTCCTATTGTTAGAGGACTAGAACTAAGGTCAGAAGTTGAGCGCGTTGACAGATTTCTGGCTACTTACGGCCCCAGCCTGTAGCCTGCATGTACTGATACGCCTCTGTCGCTGCTTGCTCCTTTGCCTGCTTCTGGTTTCTACCTGCCCCGGTTCCACGATGTTGTCCACTCACTTCCAAGTTGCTCAGATAACCAAGCACATAGAATAAGGCTAAAAGCTCACCAATACACTTCACTTCCCACCTCGGGTTATGCGGTGGCCCCGTCATCTCCGGTTTCCACTCTACTGTAAGTCCTCTTTGCATACACGTCTGATTAAATATTGCAAGTACACCCTGAGAGGGCGCAGGTGGCGGCATCGATGGCATCGGAGGAGGCGCAGTGCTTGGCGGGGGCGGGGGTAGGGGTAGGGGCTGAGAATAGTACGTTGGAGGAGGTGGAGGCGGCGTTGCAGCGGGCTGGTTGTTGGATGATTCTCCTGGGGCTGTTGGAGGTTCCGAGGAAGGGTTGACAAGGCGTCCGATCCAGTTCATGACTTCTTGCAGTCCCTTCTGGGTGTAAACGGCACCGACGTAAGAATTAAAGACGAAACGAGCTTCTTCAGGCTGGTCAAGTACACTTCTATCTGTACAACGAATTTTAGCCTTTAATCCGTAAAGAGAAAGCCAGTCTCCGATGTTCTTGTCGCTTAGCATGTCAGCTTGGCGCATCTATAGTGTCATCTCAGTAATGCACAAAAAGGATATTTCTTGATGATTACGAACTTTGAGATCATGGGCGGAAAGCATCGGTTTCTCTGAGTACAACGTGTACACGACGAGCATACTGAGCACCGAGCTACCTAGCTCAGCCAATCGCTCGGTATTTCCATGCACTGTATCCTCGTCGATGTTTTTACTCAGCATAGACCGATGCGTATATACATCGAGCATGAGCTCTCCTTGGATGGGGGGGAGCGGTGGTAATGAGAGCTTTAAGTTGTTCATGGCCATCGTGGTATGGATAAGACAAGATAGAACTCCCTTGTTATCGCTTGATAAACTTGCTGACTCGTAGGGCCTTCGGAATCTTTCAATAGGTTGGAGCGCTTAATGTGCCATGTTGTAGTACTCACAAGGACGGAATGCGATTATGAAGAGTCTGGCGGACTGGATCGCGATGAATGATAGTAAGCTAAGAAAACCTGGCCACGTAGTACGGCGTCCGTTTGTTGCTGTTCGAGCGCTTCGTATGAATCAAAATGCTTGCAAGGTAGATCAGGTGAGAGACTTCGGAGCCGGGACACATCACCCGTGGGCCGTCAGATTCAGTTGCCTTTTTTGACCGAACAACGGTGGTCACGTGCATCTGTCCTTCCTTCAGACTGTCAGGTTCGTGCCACCAGTGACTGCAGTTTCTTAGGACTTAGTATTGGAGCTGGTTTATCTGACCACAATACAATAAGCTAGCGTTTTATATGCCTGGCGAATCAACGTCGCCTCCAGGCGAACAGCCACTCATACCAGAGCGGCTCCTCGACGTACCTTCTCAACGTTTATATTACTTGAGTTTGGGCTTGCTGCTGCAGGTAAGTGGCTTTGAAACAGTTTTCAAGTTCTTTCTGCGCGAGATCTTCCTTCATATCTCATGACTTGTGCATACATTACGAGTCTGACTCGTTCATATTCTTGGCAGGCCATCAAGGTGTTCGACGTCCTCCAAAACATCTTTGCGTCTGATGCAACGACGTACTACGGCAGAAAATGGCTTATAGTTGATTTTGCATACATCGCAACACTCTCTCAGCTCCGAATACCACGTTTGAAGTACAGCAGGGCTGTCGTCTTGCTCCAAATTCTGTCCATATGGTTCCTCGATGGCATGTTGTTCGGAGGAATCAGCTTAAATCTTGGGTTAGTGGGATCATCCGAAATAAGTAGTGTACCTTCGGGAATTCCAAGTAAGTTTGCCATGAATTCATGTCTTTGACCCCACTCATGATATTATACAAGATCGACCAGACATTCCTTCTACTCCAGAACCGTTCCGTCTCTCTGATATCTTTGCTCCACTAACATTCGGTCTCTTTTCATTCGACACAAATTCCAAAGATGCTCGCCTGCTTGGCCAACATACGGTCCGCATGTCTCCTATCAGCACTGCTCATTTCAATCCACACTTCCAAACTTTCTGCCTCCCACCTGTTTCGCCTGCACACGTGCTCGTCCCAATCCTTGTGAACAACACGATACCGACTAATGTGCGTTATTCTTTTATCCCACTTGGCTCGGGACGCGTGGAGTACCTTGAATTGGGGACGAAGGAGTTAAAAGCAATCGAGCAAGCTAGAGTAGAGGGACTGCAGGTTGTGCGAAGCAAGGATGTGGGCGAGTATGATGAGTACGATGATGAGGATGATGAAGAAACTGATGCCGGCGCCCGTCTTCAAAAGACACAAAGCTTGGTGCATCTTCGCTTTTCCAAGCCAGGGACCATAAGGCTTGACCGGGTGCTTGACAGTTCAAATGTTGCGGCACGTCTTGTTCACCCGGTCGAAGTGACCGTTGTACCTTGTCCGACTGCCCAGTACACTGATGATATTGTGCAAGATGTTCACTGTGCAGGTGAAACATCTGGTGTGGGCCTTACCATCGATATACGAGGCGTTCCTCCGTTGAGCCTACAGTGGTCAAAGGATGTCAACGGGAAGAAAGAATATTTCCTTGTTGAAGGCATCGAAGACAGCGGTCACTCGCATACTGCACAAGAGGTTGCTCGCGCTCGTATACCTCAAAAACTCAAAGTTCCGTTGTCTTTGTCATTGGATGCTCTCGGCAAGCACACGTATAACCTGGAGAGTGTGATCGATGGTATGGGAAACGTCGTACAACTCAACGATGAGTATCGTGACGCGAAAATAACACGATCCCTCTCTGTTCTGCGCCGTCCGAGCGTGTCGTTCAAAGCATGTGGTCCAGGAAATCCGACTTCACTCCTGATTGGCTCAGAGGCTCCAGTGGCATTAACGGTATCCAACGCAGACCCCGTGGATGGGCCATGGGACATCGATGTGAGGTTCGAGCCCGCCAGTGGGGATGGAAAGCGTGTGAAGCCATGGGACAAGATAATACAGACACAGGAAAACAACAATGACGTCGTGCTAAAGGCAGGCGTCCCAGGGGAGTATGTTGTCACTGGCATCAGAGGCAAGGTAGGTGGTGCACAGCTCCTTTTCATGATGATTCTAACCAAGTAACAGTATTGCGATGGCGATGTGCTTGCTCCTGAAACCTGCAAGGTCGTTGAGAAGGCGATGCCCACTGCAGAAATCGAGTGGAAGAGGATTCATGAATGGTATGTGCCCTCTTTCTGGCAAGCCTTCCTTTCTAAAGTCTACTCAGTTCTGGCGACACAGGTGTTTCTGCGTCCCTTGTCATGCACGGCACACCTCCATTCCAGGTCTACTACCGCACACAGCGTGATGCAGAGCCCCCGCGTGATCTTTTCAAGACATTCACGTCATCGCGTGGCGAGCTCACTTTGCAGCCGGAAAACAGCGGTCACTACTATTACACCTTTGTACAGCTCAGTGACGCCTACTACAAAAAAGTCGCGCTTGATGGCCCGAGCATTGATCAAATCGTACATCCTCTAGCAGCAGCAGACTTTGTTGGCGGTCGTGGAAGAAGGGTCGTAAGCAGTTGTGAGGGTGTGACAGTGGACATTGAGGTCGATTTGAGGGTGAGCAGTCTTGTTGCTTTAAATATGCTGATGCTGATGCGTGTCCATAGGGCACACCTCCTTGGAACTTGGAGTTGCAGGTTGTAGGTCCACGTAGTACGGATGCACTGGAAATAACCGACATCAAAACGTCGCCCACAAGGATATCGGTGCCTATACCCAGTGTTGTTGACAAGGAAGGTGGAACATTCGACGTTGAATTAGGTAGGCTTAAAGGTTGTTGTTCGATGAAGCGAAGTTAATCCGTTCACTCAGTGAGCGTCGTGGATAGCTATGGATGCAGACGATCGATATCAGTCCCTGGCGTCTCTGTGAATGTCAGGAGAGTGAAGGCAAGTAATTATGACTGTGATATATGGGTCAAGTTTTGACTGTGTGTTCAGCCAACCGTCAAGTTCTACGGCAAGCATGGCCAACGGGAGATCACTATTCTAGAAGATGATGGTGCTGATCTGCCGCTTCGGCTGACAGGCGACGGGGTAAGCCAGATCACTGAACTCTACCGAGCAGAACTCACGTCCGCCTACCTTAGCCATGGAAAGTTAAATACCGCCACATGAGCAATCCAGATCGGTTGTTCACCGCTGCGCTCAAGTCGCCTAATGATTATATCCATGTCACACAAAAGGGTGTCTACGAGATTCTCGAGGTAGCAGTCTATCGCATGGTTATGGGACATCTTATTCACATAACATGTTTATTCTAGGTTACAGATTCTCAATGCCCTGGATCCGTGATCGAGAGTGAGAACACTTATACCGTTGACTGGGTGCCACGACCATCTGCTCGACTGGATCCTGCAACCGTTTGCACCTTCGAACCGTATAATAGATCACACATCCTTCCTCCGATTTGCAAAGGCCAGGATGCCCACGTCGACCTCGAGCTCACGGGTGTGTCCTCTCAAATGAAGTTCATTGCATTGGCTAACGTTTGCAAGGTCGACCTCCCTTCCAGATTATGTACAACATTGCGCGCAACGACGAAGCAGGGGGTACAATAGTCCTCGACCAACCAACGTTCAGCAGCATCCAGCCTCACACGCGTTTCCAGCTACACACGTCCATCATCGGGCGCAAGTATTATGAAGTCAAGCAAATCGGGGACAGTGCATATCCTCTTGCAAAGCACAAGAACGCTGTCATCCCTCGTTCAGACCGTCTTCTTTTCGAGCAAGAGGTCATAGCAAGGCCGTCAGCGAAGTTCAAGAACGACAACAGAATTCTTTTCTGCCTGAATGATGCACTTACCTCTCGTGAAGCTATTTCAAATGATGGTGGTGTTATTCAGCTAGACGGGACTCCGCCTTTCCAGCTTGCGCTGTCCATCAGGAACCTTGCCGCGAGCCAAGTGCACAAGGAAACAATTGAAGTGCACGATAGGACCTGGATACTCGATCTTCCCTCTTATCACTTCACATCCATTGGCCCACATCAAATCACGATTGAGTCCGTCCAGGACTCGTCGCACTGCGAACAGAAAGAGCTCCATCCCTTGCATCGTTCTATATGGGTCGACGTTGCAGAATCCGCTGCGATCACCCCCGTCGACAAGAGAGTAGATTTCTGTGTCGGTGATGTGGCTCAGTTCCAGCTCGAAGGCACTCCGCCTTGGTCTATCGGGTGCGTTCGGTGACTAGCCACTTTTTGGTTTGCTGACAGCAACGACGCTATAGTTACCGCATCAACGGCAAGTCTTACACCCAAGAAGCCAAGAAGTCCCCATTTTCCCTCTTGCATCAACAAGCGGGAGAATTTACGGTCACATCCGTGTCGCAGCAGCAGAAGCTATGCAAGGCTACAGTCACTGACTTACAGTTTAGCGTCCATCCTCTTCCAGCTGCCCAGGTCGGTCACGGAAAACGGATATTCCAAGACATTCATGAAGGTAATTGCGGTCTCGATATATGATGATTGCACTGTGCTGACGTATGTGTAGGTGACCAAGCAGAAATAGTCTTCACGCTGATTGGAGACCCACCATTCACGTTCACTTATCAACGAGCCGAACCAATTCCCAAGAAAGGAGGCAAGCCAGGAAAAGTGCTGGAGACCCATACCGTGTCGGGTGTCACCACGCACGAATACTCTATATTCTCCGCACTTGAAGGTCTGTTTTTGCTTGATTACAACGACCCCAGACACAGCTGACTTGCATGTTGTTGCAGGGACATGGACAGTAACATCCATCTCTGATCGATACTGCCGATACCCTACACAGTCAGATGGCGTGGTAGAGAAGACACGACACTAGGCTTTGAGATACGAATGCCATCTGATTTTAGTATATCTCATGCCAGTAGCCACTGTAGCTTTAGACTAATGACATCGCACCACTATTTATCTTGACAGGTCAGGAGCATTCCCTACCTCAATGCTCATATACGCTCATATCCGAGTTGTGACACGATGAGCACGGTATCAGTGAGGTTTGTCCTATGGGTCTGCAACTTGAAGGTGTTGCCAGGTGATCCCACAATATCTGATTCCATCATCGATATCTAGCTGGCTCGCATTGTGTTTCTGCATCTTCTCGCAAAACTGTGACAGCCCTTATGATTATGCTTTCTTGATGTTGAAATTGTGTCGACTGCAGCCTGCAACTGGTACTCTGCTGCTTGTTTTTCCGGACTCACTTTTAGCCCTCCCGCTTGTCACTGCACCATTCTGTGATCTTTGCACTCCTCTCGCGTCCTCATTACTGTTGCTGGACGGTGCGCCTGTTTCATGAACTGTGTTTGCTGCATACCTATTCAAGACACAGACGGTCAATATTGGAGATATAGTCACAACCTCATTAGCTACTGGAATGATGTCGCGGTAATATCGCTGTAATACACGCTGGATGCTGGACTCGTGTTTCGCTCTACATCGGCTACGTATCTGTGAACGTTAGGCAAGAAACTACACTCCACTGATATTTTATATCGTCTCGATTTTCATCAAGTTCTCCATGGCCCACACTTCCTCGTTATACCGCATTTGCTACTGCTTCCGCTCCCATTTGTTTTTTGGCACAAGTCTTATTTTATTGTTTCGTGACATGGAACACGGGTGCACAACTTTAAATGATTGCATTGCAGTGCTAGGAATTCTGCACTCAGTTAGTTCTTGTCAATGCTTGTGACTTTTCCGATCAAACTAGTGCTCTTGCAGTTATCGGAATCATGCATAACATTCCTCTCGCTGGATCCCCCTCGCTCATCATACAACAACTTCAAACGGTCTGAAAAATGATCTGCCCCCTTCGTATGTGGAAATACCCCTGCGCTATCTTAGCGTCCTTGCCTACGAGGAGTGATCCACAGTGTGTGCGCCATACTCATCTCACCGAAGCTGCCCAACGGTTGAGAACTGGCTAATCATCACAGGGGTAATCGCCAACGTATGTGAACATCTTTGATTGACGGTATAGCGCTCGTGCAGAGCATTTGGGAAAGCAAATATATTTGTGAACGGGGCTACAAAGTGCAGAGTGCGGGAGCTAAGAGAATGGGCGAAAGCACGAAGTGCTATCCAGCCCAAAGACAAATAGTAAGTTCCCACGAAAGGCGTCTGGACTGTGGGTGTTCTTAAGCACCAGCTGACATTGAGCGCATCCACGAAATTTGATTGACGTGCCCAAAAAATGAATGCATGAGTAGGTGTCCTGGTGATGTTTTGGACTGTGGAGAAGTGGGTGTTTGTGTACACAAAGAAGGAACCACAGCTCCACGTCGAAGAGCGGAGATGTAGAGGGAGAATCTCTTGCGCGGCACATGGGCTTTGGACATGGATAATTGGATATGCTCCTGAACTTCTTTGCATGGGTCGAACCGGGTCATACCCGGGTGCTACTTGTGGGTAAATTGAGAAATAGAGTTATGACTGTATTTGTCCCGGGGTCAAGTGCAGGTACGCATCGACCCGTGGGTGGTACCTGCGGGTGTGATTTGTGAGATGAAGATATTCTCAAGGACCAGAGCAGCATCCCTACTTGATGGTAGGACATCGAATGAGTCCAGGTGACCGAGGGAAGTTATGGGTAGAGAAACTTGTCAATCCATATTTGAAAAAATGTATAATTTTGTTTGGAAGTTTTGTACTCAGTAGATGATGGGGTGAATGATCATATGGCTTACCTATAGGGCGCATGATGGAGACAGCGAGTTCGAAGTGTTTGATTACATCTCTCCGAGTATGTGAACGCAGATCTGGAAGAACAATGAACAGCTCTTTTGCATAATTGTGCGGAAATGAATTTGTAGTCTTGGAAATATCCGAGCCCCATAAGCACCGCCTGGGCGAGAACACGCCGCGAACCAGGAGTCCTTCGCCTTCCATATCCCCTGAGTTAGAAATACCTCACTTGGTTACTTAGTAGGGGAGCTCAAAGTTGAACGTTCGACGCCCAATTCGTGACCAAAAATGAGTATAATAAATAGAATACAAAGTAAACCTTACCATTACATCATCGTGATGCTGAAGGATGCTTCGTAACATCATGTACAGGATGTAGTTTTGTAGATATTGGTGGTGTAGACTTGTGGCTATAGATCAGACCATGATGCCTATCGATAAGATTTGCTTATATAAGTTCATTTATTTGTAGGGTTTACTTTGTGTTTACTTCTATTTATTCCTAGAAGGTATACTCATTTTGGTCACGAGTTGGGCGTTGGGCGTTGAACGCAACTTCAATGAGCTCCCTGTCAGACAGTCTTTATTGTGAATCTTGTTACATATGCATGTACGAAAAACTTGACAGAAAACAATGGCGAAACCAAAAGTCAAGGAGATGAAGTCTACAAAGGCCATTTTTCACATCCGACTCCGCGACCAGTTACCTTGACTTCCTCGCAACTATGCTTCCGAAGCATTTTATAAGGTTACTGAGAAGAAAAGGAAAAGGCACACCTTCAACTACCTTCTTGGTGCTTCGCGCAGGTATGTCGGTCCTTGGATTATCTGATACCACAGCAACGATGGGATCTCACTTATCTAGGTGATTGAGTTCATAGATGTGGCACATAATTCCTCAGGTTTCATTGGTAGATGGTGGGACAGTGAACCCATCCCTTGCGAAGTGCATGGTGTCCTGAACGCGTGACTGCCTGTCGTAGGTCTCATGACGGAAGCTGGCAGTGGTCTCGGCTTCCATACTCAAGGTCATCCATAATCCTGGTGCTCCCTGTTCTGCTTGCAGTTCGCTTCCTTCCGTGTATTTTAGAACATGTGCCCCATCTTCCATTCTGCCCGTCATGAACTTCTTCGCGAAGATTGAATGAATGGTGATCGTGATCCATGTCAATGGCGCGGGCGTCTTTTGCACCGGTCAGTTAAGTTTCATTCCTCCCGGGTGTTGCTCGGGAATCGGGTACTAGCAGACCGTCCAACAGAAGTTGTGTTCTAGATTTTGTAGATCCTTGCGCACACCCAGGTGGGGTTGATACGGTCCCTATTGATTAATCACGTTCACGATCTACCCATGTTTAGTGAATGCATGATCATCATTGTACTCCTATCCAGCTTCTGTTGCCGTACTGGTGACCTCCAGAAAATTTCCTGGCATACTATTATCTTTGGGACTCAATGTCATCATGGTGCACGTATGACATCTATACTACATTTGGACCCATTGCCTCGCATATATAAGGACCTCTAAGTCGCTCCTGCTACTCCATCTCGAAGTTGCATACTCTCTCGTGAGTCCAAAATCTTCCTATTCGACAACAAGGTTGACAGTAGCCCCCAGTACAATGACTTCTTCTACTGTACTTTGTGGCTATGGCGGGTGGCTTCCAAAGCATCCTGCAATCTACAAGGCCTTCATTGATAATCTCGTTCACCGCGCTCTGCGCTCTGCGCCGTTCCGCTGATTCCACCTCACATGAACCTGCTGTTGCAGCTTTCGGGGAAGCGATCCAAGGGGATCCCGTCATGAAGTCTCTGTTCGACCAAATATTCCTACAGGTTGATAGGCGGAACAAGGTATGAGGTAGTCGCCAGTAAGCCTTGTGACAAAGACTCATTCTCTCGCACAGGTGACGGACTTCGAACACTTGTTGTCCTGGCTCGACTGTATCATCGTGACAGCGCCCAAGTATGAGGTAGCAACAGACGAGAATGGCGATGTGATTGGCGAGCCTATCGGGGTGCCTATTTACCTCATTTTCGATTTGCTTAGCAACACAGCTGCAGCCTATGACCTGTTCCGCATGAAGGAGTTCAACCGTGCGCTCAAAGCCTTGTTGGAGAACTGGGGAAAATTCCTCATGGAACCTGGATCGAATTTAACGCTCAATACGACTGACCAAGGCTGGTTTGGTAAGGCTGGAATTACCAGTCTCGAGACGCATCTGGGGAAATATAGCTTCGAGCAGACGTACAAGTGTCCTGACGCGGCAGCTGATAACCGTGGGTTTACAACCTGGGATGCCTTCTTCACTCGAGCGCTCCATGATGGTGTGCGCCCCATCGTAACCCAAGATAATCATCCCGTTACATTCCCAGGTGGACTCCACACTCGGACTGTTGTAGAGCCGACTCTCATCTATAGCGCCTGCGAGTCCACCGTTCTACGCATTCGCAGGGACGTGAAGCAACATGATCAGTTTTGGCTCAAAGGCCAGCAATACTCCCTTTATAACATGTTGAACCGCAGCGATTACTACGCCAAGTTGTTCGAGGGCGGGACTGTGTATCAAGCATTCCTCAGTCCCCTCGACTACCACCGCTGGCACAGCCCCATCAAGGGCACAATCACGGATATTGTCGTGGTTGACGGAACATATTATGCCGTGCTTCCAGATGCCGGGGCAGACCACGGTGACCCTGATCTCCCAGAGGGTGACCCTCATGGTGCATTGATTCGCTCCCAGCCCTTCCTCACCATCGAGGCCGCTCGTGTGCTGATTTACATCAAGTCAGAAGACATCAACATCGGCACAATGTGCTTCATAGGTGTGGGGATGGCGGAGGTGTCGACTTGTCAGGTGACAGTGAAGAAAGGCCAAGCGGTGGAGCCGGGGACGGAACTTGGAATGTTCCACTTTGGCGGGTCCTCACACGCCCTCGTATTTTCCAAGGGCACCGAATTTCATGAGGGAGATGAGATCAAAGAGGGCAAACACGTCTGGGTCAATTCGGTTCTCGGTGTAGCTACTCACAAGCAAGACTCGGAGTGATGGCATAGGGAGGTTATTCAAAGATCATTTATCGAAGAGTACCTTGATACTATAGGCGTTATGAAAAGATTCATGCATACACTTTTTACGATCTTGTACTATTAGCAGTTTGACTACATCGATGTTATGTTTAGTCTGTTCAACTTTGTTGGTCACAATCATTGCGCCGCTTTGCGATGAAACCTGAAGCTAGCTTGTGTGAAGGCCTTCACGTTGCTGCAACGTTGCTGGTGCAGTCTGCATCAAGCAGGCTGATGCTTGAAGGCGTCGTACGTCCCTGCTTTATTCTTGAAGCTTCTCATCTTGAATGGAGATCCTTTTTGGCAGCTAAAGCCTTCTTCCCCCCTTTCCGGCTCTTCGTAGCTTCTAGAACATGTCAGTGACAGAGCGCTCAGCGCTGAGCAGGGCAAAAGAAATTACATAATATAATATCTCATTAATCGGTTGCTGAACGGGCTGGTACTTCGTGGCTAGTCTCGTCGCCTGCCACCTAAGGTCGGCGAGAGCTGATTTGCCTTGTACAATTTACATGCCACTTGGCAAAGAATTGAAGGATATGTAGTCGTCACAAATCCAAGTACATCGATTATACATTTACTTCTCTGTCCATCCTCTAAACCTGGACGGATGAGATGTAGAACCACTTTGAGACTATGGGACAGAGAAGTTAGACTATGCAGGACGAAGGGGAGGAACAAGTACTTACTGGAAGGATCGATGGGTGCAGGAGGTTGCCTGGAGTCGGAAGGAAGGTTAGCATATACGGGGTCGCTACGGGTAACGAAACCTGGCGAGCTTGAGTTGGTGAGGTTGCGGCTGCAGAATTTGTTATTTTTCAACAACTAGAACAAAACAAGGAAAGTTGACGGACACAGCGATCTCATAGGTAGGCGTTTTAGCGGGGCTGTCGCCGGTAATGAGACGGCGCCATGCCTCGTTACACTCGTGGATGATCTCTGTAGCATATTTCTTGTTCTTGGCCTCACCAGAGAAAGCAAAGGCGTTCTCGCCCTTGCCATCGGGAATCTTGTAGATCCTAATGGACGCTATAGCTCCTTCTTAGGCTGATAAGATGTAGCACATACCTGAACCACTCATTAGTGGCCCTGATCAACCCAGGAAGGTGGCGCTCCACGTCCTCGATGTCGTTAAGCTTCGATGCAAGGGGGTCATGCACATCAACGACGATGACTTTCCAATCGGTTTCGCCCTCATCGAGCAGAGCCATGATACCGAGAACCTTGACCTGCTTAACCTGACCGACGTAGCCGACCTGTTCGCCGATCTCACAGACATCCAATGGATCGTTGTCACCCTTGGCTTTAGTCTCAGGGTGGAGAGCAGCCGGATCCTCCCAAGTCTTACGATAATCGATCGCGATCAGCCAACCGAACAAGAACGAGAAGCGAAATAAAGCTTACCTGAGGGAAAGCACCATAGTTCCAGATGTACCCATGATGGGGGAAGCAGTTACGGACAAAGCGCAAACGACCCTTTTTGATGTCCTGTTTGATGGGGTTGAAGGGCTCCTCCTTGGAGATCTCCATCTTCGCGTTAGTCCAACGAGGAACCTCGACGATCATGTTGAGGATGCCATTGCTCTGGTCGGCAAAGAGAGGAACGTCGTGAAAAGAGGACACGACGGAGCCATTATGTTCGATGAACACTCGGTGTTCTGATGATGTGCGAGCTGATCAGCCGGTACGATAATTGTGGTATGATCGCACTTACCGAGGGTGTTAGGCGCGCCAATGAGGCGAGTACCAAATGCTGAAAGCGTGTTAGTAAAAATTGCAACGTATTTTGACGACGAGACGCACTGGAGACCATTGATGAACGTGATGAAGAAAGTAGTCTAACTTGTTGGGAGAGACGACGCACTGCTATCGATCCTCCGGTCATGTGTCCACTTATTACCTGCTTTATTCAAGTAAAAGTAAAAGTTTGTATTAATTACGAAATAAATCTTTCGTGGGAGTGGTGTCTGACTCGATCCACAGCAGTCAACAGCGCAGGAAGATAGCTTATAGATTATCTGATCAGGCAGGACCAACAATGTTGTCGAGGCTGCCAGCAATACGCCAGCGGAAGTTTGGATGAAATTGGAGACTAGCTAGATATCATGATCTTAGCGCCCACGAATTCGAAGTGCATAATTTTAACAATTACAAATATTAAATACTTATACCACCTTCCCAATATTGGGTTTGTTCGCTGGCACTAGCTCTGGGCTTCGAAAATGCCCCATTGAAGTCCAACCGAAGTAACAGCCTTTCAACATGCCGGCGGACTTCTCCCTCTCCCTCAAAACCCTTGGACCCCTTTCCTCGGATGGACGTGCGTTGGAATGTTGATGCATTTGCCACGCTAGCGTTCATCAAGATAGACTTTGAGGCATCGCCAGTGGCCATGAAGGGTTGCTGAGAAGTCGAGAGTGATAGCTGCTCGTAGAACAAATTAAACAGTTTATGAAGGCTCTGTTGTATGAGACGGTCAGAATTAATAGCCAATGTTGAGAACAGAATGTAGTACCTCATTGATCTCTGACACCACTTGAAACCGTTCCTGTACCATAGCACCCACTTTATCATCCCCACCAGGTGCCAAACTCCCCTCAAACAACAACGCAGGTAGGACGTCTCCGCCCCATCGTTCGACCTGCGCAACAAATCGTTCGCACACCTCAAAAATCGGCCGAAGGATCGCAGTAAGAGCGGGATTAGACAACAAGCACCCCGTCAGCAGCCGCTCGAGATACGTCGTATGGATATTTCGCAGCGTGGTAAAATCAAGGTAAGTTGAGGGATCTGCATTGGCCTGGCCGGCGATGTTCTGTGAACTGAGGTGCTTGCTCACGCTTTCTGCACGTCCCCGACTCGGGTTTCCCAAGAGATCCTTCAGTCTTCTGAACTCGACATCTACGACGTCGACCATGACATAACCGAGAAGGGTGTCAAGGAACCACCCCATATCCCTCACGACACCCCACCCACAGCGTAACAGTTCTCTACGCGCTTCGAGATCTTCAGCAGTACCACCTTCACCAAGGCCTGTCCATCGCCGTCGCGCACGTTGTGCGTTGGAGAGCGAAGTCCAGCAAGTGTGAATTTGGGTGTGAGTTTTGCGCAAAGAAGAGAGGTAGTTGAAAAGAGCTGCGTATATCTGAAGATCCGAAAGGTGCAGAAACAGATCCAGAGGCCAGGCGACATTATACGACAGTATAAGATTTGTGCCTAAAAGGAGATCATCAAAGGATGTGACTTCGGATGAATTACTAGCGACAGATGAAGATAGTGTTTTGGAATTTGCCAATGAGGGCAAGAGGGGTCTGAGGGGTCCTGCAGGAAGCTCAAAATGGAGATGTAGAAGCGAGGGATCATGTTGAGCGGTTGTACCAAGAGACGCTCGGAGGAGCGCCAGATTTAAATCTTGTTCTCGAATCACTGACGCCACTCCTGATCGTGTCGTGAGCCGTGATATCTTCAAGCGCTCGATCTCACGGATAAGCGCTAAGCTGAATTCGCCATTGCGCAGAAGAAAGTAACTTGCCCTACCGGTCAATTGTTAGCCTGCCAGATTTAAATAAAAATTACAAAGTAAAAAGTAAAAAAGGAGGCTCGGAAGGATCACGTACAATGATATAACGGCGTCTTCCACGTCCTTCCGCGTCAGAACGTTAAGCCATAGCCATTCGCTGACATTTATCCTGATCTGTGAGATCACGAGGTCGAATTTGTATTGATCCTCGGGTAAGACGGTCTCCAGCAGATTAGCATATTCAACCGCCTGCTCGCGCGGCAGTTGATTCTCCCACTTCTTAGCTTTTATGGTCGCAATGGCCCGACCAACATAAATGATGGATTCTTTTGTTTGAGGAGAGACGCAAGAGGGCATAGTGCCATCTAAAAGCGTGAAATCTGCCGATGCTAAGGGATCGGAGGAAGCAAGGGACCCGTGAACCAGGAAAGCAGACAACTGGCACCGCCAGACACGTTGGACGGCGACAGAAAGACGTGATATGATATCGGCAATCCGATAAACACCAGTCTTTGAACGTGCGAGTAACATGTCAATCAGGGGACCGGGCTGCCAGTGCTTCTGAGCTTGTAGTTGATTCATCAAGGTCTCTAGCGCTGTGAGGGGAGAGTCCCATTCTGCAAAAGTCGCTCGTAAAGCTGAAAGCGGTACGAAAGACCCGTTGGAAACAAGATCAGGATCGCGTTTCAAGACCTTGGCTTCTGTATCAACCACAAGTTTTTCGTACTCGTCCTTTAGGATCTGGTTTAACGTCGCGCAGAGCGCGCAGACATAACGCGACTTGGACCGGGAGAGGGTCGCACACGCCTTCTTTATATTGCGATATCTGGAAGCTATGTGTCCAAGGGCTTCAAGACATTGTTCTTCGCCTGGATGCAGTAATGGTCTGAAAGCAGGATGTAGATTGTGATCTGTTGGGAACAACGACGAAGAGTGGCCTGCGAGTACTAGTAACACCTCTGCAATCATGTCAAGACAGTCCTACATGTCAGTTTGGCTGAGAGGTGAATACATAAAGAAAGCAAAACTCACTTGAACAAAGACCTAAAATTTGAGACTTCGAACTTGGTTGACCGTTGAGGTGACTGTTATAATATTAATTGGAGGCTATTTCTGGATGAGTAAATCAGACCACAACACTGGAGGCAGGCATCTGTAACTTTTGAAACGTATCCATACCACCATGGCAGACAACGAGCACGAAATCGTAGAACGTCAAGTAGGCAAAGGATTCGAGGCCCGCTTCGACCTCGACGATGCATTCTCAGACGGTGAGGATGCTGATTATAACCTCGAGTTCAGCTCCGCAGCTATCAGGAAACATCTCGCCGAGAACCCGAGTTGGGCCGGAAATCATGACCGAGAACTTGAAGATGACGGGGAGACGGAGTATAACTCTGCGCGCGATCATGACACGTCGATATCAACTTTTTGTCTCGATGGGAGTTCAAACTCATATTCAGAGACTAGATCTCCTTCCTCGTCACCACCACCGCTGAATGCAGAAGAACAACCTGATGAGCAGCAGGTTCCTCAGGACTTCTCTGATATCACACTCTCAGAAGAACCGAATGCAAACGGACATTCGACTAGCCATGAAGATACTCAAGAGGAGGATGCCTCCGCTCCACGGGATACCTCCCCTTCGCGGGATACGTCATATCCCGTCGTTCACATTGACGTCAGTAGATCACCGCCAAGTCGCGTAATGATGAGTACGGGCGCAGAAAGCAATGGCGAGGATCATCAGGAAGACGAAACGGTATATCCGGTCTCGAATGTATCTTCTTCCTACCTCCCTCCGCCTAGTCATGATATTCCACCACTACCTCCATCCCCATCTTCCCCGTTACCAAAAAGCCCAACAACCCCAATCGTCACAAGTCAAAGAAGACAAACGTACTCAGCGGGACCGAGCGCCTTCCAGAAAGTAATGAGCAAGACGCGCCCTCATTTCCTGCCTCCAAAGAACCGTCAAGAAGACCAGAAACATATGGCGGACTGGCAGGCCATGATGAAACAAAGTCGCGCTGCAGGTTATTTTCTAGTCACATAAATCGTGGTTATATGTTGACTTGATAACAGAGGAAAAACGGCGGAAGGCACTACAAGAACGACGTTCAGCTCGCGAGCTCAAGATTGAGCAGTCCATGTACAAATGGGAGAAGGAGATACTTTCTGATTGGCGAGTCATTTATAAGAATCCCAATCTCCGCAGACTTTGGTGGAACGGTATACCCACGAAACTACGCGCTTCTATGTGGCAGCAAGCTGTCGGTAACGCACTCGCTCTGAGCAAAGGTAAGCGTCATATATGTGCACATATTTTCTGTCTACGTGGCCTTCATCGTATTTCAAGATAACTACAGGAACTGTTTCAGTCGAGCTACCCGCGCACTTTCGACCGGCTCATTTCCTGCCGAAACACTACAAACCCTCGAGCAAGACATCTTGTCCACCCTTCCCTCCCTACACATATTCCACCCCGAAACTGGACCCCTCTACCAAGATATTAAGGATATGTTATGCGCATGGGTAGTCTCTCGTGCAGACGAGGGTTTGGGATATGTGCACGGGACCGCTAAGATCGCCGGGATGATATTACTCAACATGAAGCCACAGCAAGGTTTCATCGTGATGAGAAATCTCTTGGAGAGACATTGCATGAGGTCACTATATGGCAGCGTTGCTGCCAAGGATGACGTGAGTGCTACAGATCGGCTTGGATCAGAATCTGACTGAATCGTAGTGCTTTAGGTTGAAGCCTATTATCGGTGAGCACAGGGACATGAGTGAAGGCATCTGTGTTTATCCTGCTTTTCAGGATATTCGACACGCTCTTAGCTGACTGCATGCCAAAAAGTAAGATTGCATATATCATATTCCACCCGTTCGGCTTAGTTCATTTTTCTCTAGTATACTTCAATTTCAAGCAACACCAAATATCGCCTGGTGCTTATCTCCCTGACTGGCTTATCCCGCTATTCTTGGACCACCTGCCCTTCGAAGCATGCGCACGTTTATGGGACGTTCTCCTCCTAGAAGGGGACTCTTTTCTTTTTCGCGCTGCTCTCGCTGTTCTTGCGGTCCTCGAACCTCGATTGTTCTTCCCCGACCGACAGGAGCTTCTAGATCTCCTCCGGTGGGTAACTCTTCAATTCTGTTATTGCACTGCTCAAATTCAACGTTACCAATACAGAGGTGAAAATAAGGCTGCACTAGAAGTAGCCAAAAGGGAAGGACGTTTACTAGATGGTGCAAAATATGACATCTACGGCGTAGACGAAGAAACGCTTTGGGAACGTATCGATAGTATGGAGGACTGGTGGAAGGAGTCTACATGGAGACGTCTAACGCAACGAGAACTGCCAGATTTGTGAATTAAAGATGTAGCACACTCGCAAAAACATCATGCTCGGGTCATTTTGAAGAATGGATCGTCATTGTACTACAAGGTTGTGCGAAGTAGGCAACTCGAATCGCAAACACAGGTAATGCAGATATCAAACAGGCGTTTCCAACCGACTGCAAACTTTATCGAAGATAGTGCATTCGTAACGCAACATCCAAGCGTTACATGTACCGTATGAATCTATCCAGCACTATCCTCATCCTCATCATCTTCCACCGCATTCTTGTAGAACGTGTACATTCTCCGTCGATTTGCATCCCGGGTTTCTGTTTCGCTTGCCACATCGAATATTTTTTGCAATATCGACTTGCGCACAGCATCTGCATCCATTGCTCGATCACTGTTTGAGCTAGAGGTGCAGGCGTTGACCAGTAGTTTCGAGTAATCAGGAGATAGTGTGCGCGCTTTCTTGCGGCTTGGGGGACCCGACGATGACTTCAGCAAATTATGCAATGGCTCAAACAATGACGATTGAATGTGTCGATAAGTCGTGTTTGTGGGCGTTCGTGCGGCGAGGACGATAAATGGCGACAACAGTGTGGACAACGGGACTGGAGTTGGTGATTCCGAGTTTGTGAGCGCTTTTTCAAGTTCCTCGATATATATCTCCGATAAGTGGAATGCAAGACTGGTGGGCACACGTATATCGTTGGGACTGCAGGAATAGATATAGTCTGCTTTCCGATATTTGTAGGAGGACTTCTCACCATAGCGGTCCGTTGGGGCCAGATAATATTGAGTTGTACTCCTCGACGGTGGCACTATCCCATTTTGTCCGCACAAGAAATCTGAAGCTCGCATTCACGAACTTCCTGATGAGCATATAATACTTGTCCATCCTTAATGCCAATATTAGTATCTGAAACATCACGGTATAAAATCACCGCACGCACCGAAGACGATCAATCCCATTCCACTCCCTGACTGTCATTGTCCAAAATCCCCGCAGAAAATTGAGTGACGAGGGTACATCAGTGATCGTAAGTATGAGCTCCGCTAGCTCCCCCGCTAGTGCCTGCTGTACGAGTGGTTTGTCTGACATCCAGAAACCTGGAATATGACATCAGATATGACGTGGACGATCGAGAATGAATGTGAATGTGGAGACACACAGTAGAAGATGCCCTTCCATAGCTTAGCCATTTCAAGATCAGGCAATACATTTTCGGAGTCACTGGACAGGAAAACAGCAAGGTTTTTTACGGCTTTGTCCCGTGTTTTCTTTTCTGCATCCAGTCAGCGAAGAAGAGTCAATACATATAATCTTAGCCTACCTGAGGATGCAAGATATTTTCCCAGAGGCGGAACAGCAGGAGTGGACGCAGCAGACATGAATATTCGATGTCACAAAATCTTGACAAGTCAGATTGCTTGAGGGAGCACGTGATTTCGCGCCAAAAAGGAGTACCCATTCTGAGGCCGACAGGGGATTGAGGAGCAGATCATCGATCTCTCCCAGCGACGGCGGTGACGGGCAGGGGCATTTCTCAGCATTTTGGAGCTCTTTCACGTGGCTTTCAAAGAACATATAAAGGGCCATACAGACGGCAGGATTCCCAGTACCCGTCATTATGTCAAAGGGACCCATCACATGCCATGGTGAGCACTTGTGTCGAAAAGATATTGCTAGTGATCATTGACTCCCTAAAGTCCTTGATGTCTCTCTTGGAAGACCAGCAGAGGGGGTGGAAGTCAACATTCAGATCCATCATAAAGGACAGAGAAATGTCGACATCTTCAGTCCATTTGCACATGGGTAAGTCGACCATCTTGAATACCCACTTACCGGCAGACAATCGTACTTTTGCAGCGTCACAGATGCCGATGGGCGATGCTTGAACTTGTTGCCTCCACGAGGATCCGATGAGGCTAGGTTGCAGAATAAACAAGTGGGTGCTGGGACTTACAAGATCGTCTTCAAGCCGAAGGAATATTTTGAAAAGACAGGCAGAAAATGTTTTTATCCCTGGGTGGAGGTAAGATTTGTTTGCTAGCCAGGCAGTACTTGTTCTATGACATCGTACTCATGTGCACAGATCACTTTCGAGATTGAAAATCCAGAAGAACATTACCACATCCCACTTTTGATTAGCCCGTATTCTTTCACCACTTACAGGGGAAGTTGAGTGCATATGGAACGAAACGCTTGAGGAAATCTGCGATCCAGCCAGACAATGTATTACCTTGTTGTAATAATGATCCCCCGCAATGACCAAATATCTCGACGATCTTCGAATACAAAATAATGCCAGTGGAAAACAAGGAACATGGTGGACAGATGGGAACGTCTACACGCGTCTAATAAACATCATATAAGGACCTTGTTATATGTCACACCCTTGATAACACCACCGCGCATGGATGTCTTAACATTGTACAGGAATTGTTCACGATTCTTTCGTAGTTCTTCTGCTGCCTCTGTCAAACGTAGTCAGACAAGCTCATCCATTTAGAAGCAAATCAAGCGAACCTTTGTTCAATGGATCATCTGCATTAGGCTCCAAGAAAAGGTATTGTAGGCCGACCATGACCGAGTTCAAATTTAAGACAGGTTTCCAGTCTTCTCGGAGAATATTCAAACACACGTTTCCCTCGAGGTCAACGTTTGGATGGTATATCTATATCAAGCAGATTTATATCACGTAGCTTTTGAGGTAAAGGAAACACACTGTTTGCATGCACTTGACTTTGGGTGGTTCGTGTGGATAGTTGGTGTTGATGGTGAATGAGAAAGTGAAAGCACCACCCTTGTACATGCCTGACAAGTTTGGTCAGTAAGGCAGGTGTTTTCAGGATCCAGCAGAAACACCTTCATCAGGGGTGATGGTGAGAGTGAAGTTCAGGAGGTCGGTAGGGTCCGGGAAGTCCGTCTTCATGGTGGGAGGGAGGTCAAGTTCGGTCAGATCTGACATCGCATACGTTAAATTCATGAATTCATGAAACACAACAGGAAAGCCGGTACATACCTTTCTGCACTCGTATCTGTGCAGCACTTGTTTTCGGTCGCTTCTTGGTTGCAGCGTCCTCGTTCTTCTTCATGCTCCATATCTAAGCTCATTAGGACCGTGCACTTAATGCATGAAGTTCTGGTGCGATGTACAGACCTTGATCATGATGACAGTCTAAAGGGAGTGTACAGGTGATAGTTATTGCGAAAGGTGCCTACTTACAATGATGGGAGGTAGATGGGGGAACAGGGTGAACCAGTGCGGAATGTGCCGAAATAGCGGCTGCCTTCAGTGATGCAAGCATGCTTGTAAGTCTCCTCGAGGCCGAATTCGATGTGCATTTTGACGGCTTCCATGTTCGGGCGGTAGAAATGACATCGGAGTATATTGCCTCTCACTGATCAAGGAGAGTTTCACTTCCAAATTCACGTCGCCTTGCTCGGAGCCCACCGGACTATTTACAATAAAAATCGGCTACAGATAGTATACTAGCCTTTAGGGAGCAACGCGCGGGGATGGCCTTGGATGGACGAAGGTATCCTTTGATAGGTCTTACCTTAAAGTTGCTCCTCTCGGGAGCAGCTTAGACTCTAGAGCAAGAGCCCCGGGCCAGCAGTCTACGATTAGAACAGGCCTGTGACTCGCATTTATAACTTAAGAACTAGTCATCATTACGTTCACTGATTTCCACCATGTCTGAGTCAGCGCTATCAGAAACCCTCCCAGTCATTGACCTGGATGTCTTCTTGTCTCAACCCACGCAATCAATCAGAGTGCAAGAGGAATGCAACAAGGTCTGCCTCTTACCACCCGTGATCTACTAGGTCGTTCTAATCACTCAACTCGCAGGCCGCAGATGCATTGATCACATACGGGGCACTCCTTGTACATGATTCTCGCGTATCAGAGGAAGACAATGACGCTTTCCTCGATCTCATCGAGGACTATTTCGCGCAGCCTGTCGAGGACTTAAAGAAGGATGAACGGCCAGAGATTCATTATCAGGTTGGCGTGACCCTGGAGAACACAGAGAAGCCCAAATGTGCCGTGGATGAGCCGTGCTTGGATATTATCGCCAACCTGGACCCAGCCGAACGGCCATTAGATATATCCGGGCACCATCCTGACCCCAAGTGCAGGTTCTTCTGGAAAATGGGAACTCCCCCTCCATATGAGACCGAGTATCCGGCGCTTAATGCTCCAAATGTCGTGCCCCAGGCACCTAGAATCAGTGAGAAGTGGGAATCCACTATGGAGAAATGGGGGCATTCCATGAAGAATGCGTGAGTCCTGAAGACGTATTATTTGTAGGCTGTCACTAACACAAACAATAGTGTCGAGAGTATTGCTGAAATGACAGCGATCGGTCTCGGACTTCCTCGAGAATTTATCAAGGACGCAGGCAAATATGGGTCAGTAGTTCATCTACCATCTTATGGGATATTACATTGATGCGGCGGATAGCCCTCATCTACTTGGCCCAACGGCTTCTGATTTGGTGAAGTATGGGGGAAATGATACCATACTTGCCGGCTTTCATACAGATCTAAACTGCTTAACGATCCACGGTCGTTCAAGGTATCCAGGACTCAACATCTGGGCACGTAATACTGGGAAGCGCATCCCCGTTAGATTCCCACCCTCTGGCCGTTACCTACTCGTGCAAGCAGGGAAACAGATCGAACATTTAACCGGAGGCCTCATCAAAGCTGGGTTCCACGAGGTAGTCGTGAACGAGGCTACGCTGCAGGTCATACACTACCGAATTCTATGGTGTAAGTGATGAGCTGACTGCATTTTTCTAGACTGTTGAGCGGCGCAAAGAGACTCACTCTGACCGGCCTAATATTCGCATATCATCGACATTTTTCTGGCACCTCTCGTCCGATTATGAGCTTGTTCCGATCCATAAGCTATCCGAACGTGCAAATGCATTCAATTTGAGTCAGATAGTGGATCAGCGTACAGTTTATGAACGAATGAAGGTTGGACAGCAGGTTCAGAAGTGAGTGCCAAAAGTTACCACCCTCGAAGCTAAATCGTACTAATATCTGGCAGTGAACTCAAACATATTGCTCTCATGGCCTAAACTAGATATGTTTAGAGTATGTCCGTCAGTGTATGCATAACAAGGTATCTGCAGGACACAGCTCATCCATACCGGCGGACATGCGTGCTCGGTATATATATCCAGCCGTGTATGTATAGTATCTCTGACTTCACCTATCATACTTGGTAGTTCTTCTTCCCTCTGTTACGAGGCACGAGACTACGATATCGTCCATGTAAGGTCGTCCCTCCGAAGTGATGTCCAATGTCTGAAGCTCCCCCTTCTTTTTGGTCGGAATGAAAGTAGCGAGAATTAGAGGATTCTGCAACGTTCCGAACTTAGTACACTGAACGGATATCACCTATACACCAAGAACATCTTTGAGCAAATTGCTCATTTACATAATGGCAGGAAATCGCACTTTGTTTTCCGCACAATTTGTTTGCCACATGAGACGCATGTCCTTATTAAAATGCCACTCAAATTGCATCTGTCGGTTCCAGGGATAACAAGGTACGAAAGTCATATTGATCGGACGAGGCAACGACTTACCTTTCGGCGGTCCCTGGACCGTTGCAAATGTACATCGTCAAGATAAGCTATCTTATGCCTCCTTGGCCCTCTGTATTCACCAGTCCCACGATATCCATCTTCGTCGTGTGATATCGACCGTCTATGGACGATGGACGTCATATGAAGGATTAGTAGAAGATCGTCGAGGGAAATTCGGAAGACCAAACTGAATTTCTGCGATTATCTGACCTTGCTCTGTTCCTCTGCGAATAGTTGTGGTGCATATCTGAGGTCTGAAGCAGTCATTCGAGACAGATATGTGATATAGAGGACGTGAATTTGAAGAGAGCGCATGAGGCAAAAGCAGCATAGCATTTGGACCAAAGGGTGAAAATGTGAATGGACCTCTTGCTTCCACGTCAGATGAAGATGGCCCTCTTGTTTCTACGTTAGCTGAATGGTCTCTGTTGAAATGTAAGACTAAGTTGGTGACGAGTAATACTCAACAAGACCTTGCGGTGGCTCCAACGAGGGTATCAGTCGATGAATTGGCCTGGGGCGCTAACACCACCAGCCTTGGTCCTTCCGGTACAACTCTTGGGAGTTCTTCTTCTTCCTGCATTGAATGTTGAAGTGCAACACTGTAACTAGAAATCAATGGTCAGGATTGTAGCAAGAACCAATTGAATGAAATGATACAAACCTTGGAGGTGCACTGCGTGTGGTTATGATGGAGACAGCGTCCGACATGGTGTCTTATAGCGAAGTTGAAAGCAAAGGCCACAGGACCTGCGTAGTAAGCCCGAGCTATTTATCCGTCCAGTGCCCAGACGGTGGAGTGGGACACCCCCTAGGGAGGGGGTGAGGGAGACCGGGGTTTGCGAGGGTTTACAGAACAAATGATCTGATCGCCCAAAATAAGTCCCCTGCAACTAAAGATGGAGCACCCGCCCATACGCGTGAGCTAACAGGCTCCTTCGGCGACGACCAGAGTTTTAGATTTACGACCAACCCGACTTGATGTCGAAGGAAGATAGAAGACTACGTGCAATGCAAACTCACCCACGAAACCAATTGTGACTGGGATTCTTCAGCTGCTGAAAAAGGTGGTGAAGTTGAATTCAGTTAGTGTATAAGATGATGCAGGCCGAATAAGTAGGTAGCCGTTGAAATAACATAAATCTCCGCTAATGCCCACGAGGAACAGCCGCGCCAAAAACGCGCAGGACCGACTGAAGTTTTGCCAACATCTCATCCCACTCTGCATCAGGATCGGACAGCGCAGTGATGGCTCCTCCAGCGCCAATCACCCATTGCTCTGGCTCGTGAACGCCAGGGTAGAAATCGGGATTATTGAATTCCGTCCACGAATGAGCATCGCATTCGTATCGATCATCGTATTTGAAGCAACTTCGGATGGTAACAGACCAGTCTCCACCACCTCCAGCGCACCAGTAACCAAAGACACCAGAATAAACATTGCGTTCCTCGTCTTCCAGTGTTTGTAGGATCTCAACACTGCGCTTCTTCGGGGCTCCAGTCATGCTACCTGTGAAGTATATTAGCGACAGTTGAATCAAGAACAGCTCTACAAGACATACCCGGGGGTAAGCTGCGTCTGAGAACCTCCCACCCCAGTGCGCCATTAGCATAGTGGCTGGCAGTTTTATCGGCACCTTCTGCTGACTGGCCTTCGATGACGCTAACAAGCTGCCACACCGTCTTGCACTCCTCCACAGTGCAGAATTGTTTGACTTCTACATTCTCCCCAACAGCTCCATGCATATCATGCCGAATAAGATCGACAATCATGAGGTTTTCGGCAACCTCCTTCTGGCTGCCCCTGAGCGCTTGCTCAGCAACAGCACGGGTGATATGAGGGCCCTTGCGTAAGGTGCCCTTGACGGGACATAGTTTATACGTAGTTCCAGGTGGACGAGTATATGAGAGGAACCGTTCTGGTGACGAGGCTAGTAAGGTTGTGGGATGCAATCGAAGGTACGCAGCGTGAGGGGCGGGGTTGAGCTCGCGAAGATGTTTATAACGCTGCCAGGATGGGGAGTATGTCGATGAAGCCTTGGGTGCCAACGGGTCGTTCAAAGTGATGTGAGTATTAGCTGTAAGACACAGCTCATAGGATTCTCCGGCGAAGAGATGCTCTTTCGCAAGATTAATGCGGGATCTATAGAGGTCCCGGTCTGGTAAAATGACAGTAGACGTATTTGGCCGCGCCTTGGTTGAATAAGACGTAGTATTATACGAAGAATATGTTGAATAATTACGGGCGGCAGAGTGAAGCTGTTCGGCCATTTCCGTCAGCCATTCGTTGTCGTCTTCTGTGATAGATTGGACATAAATGTGTCCAGAAGTTGAGTCGAGAATTATGCTGCGCTCTACGAACACGAGGTTGACATCAGGGTGTCGTGTCTGGCTAGATACCCGATCTGCTGATACTCTGAGAGAGTCGGTACCGAGTTCGTAGCTCAGATAGCCAATGAGGCCACCCCAGAATGGTATTTCCGAAGAACCGCCAGAGACCTTCCGCTTGTTCATGAAAGAGGTAAGCCAGGACCACACGTCGTGAGATCCCAGATCTATTTGATCGCACGACTCCCCATTTGCCAAATGAACGAAACTATTTCCAATGGTGTATGTGACTCGGAGGGACGTCGAAGTCAAACAGCCGATGATAGTGAAGCGGCCTGGGTGTGCAGCAGACTCTAGCATAACGAAGGGAGACGAGTCATCGTCGACGCCCAAGACCTCACATATGTCAGGAGCAGACAGACCCGGGATGCTCAATCTTATCGTAGAAGCGGATAGTGGCGTATTGACACGAGGGGCGCTTGGCAATGGGCGGACGTATGGCCACGGAACGCCAAAGATTGCATCTGCTTTCTGATCCCATGGGCGTGTGACTCGCCCACGAGAAAAAGTCCAAGTCCGCGCTAAACGCCAAAAGTTTAACATGACTTCAATACCTCCACCCCGCGTGAGAACTGATTCAGGATGATACTGAACAGCCCAGAAGGGTCGAGTGCGATGTCTAAGGGCCATTACTACCCTCCCATTCCCCTCATCATGTGTGGATGCAAGTTCTTCAATATCCTTCGCACCACTCAGCTCGACGTGGAGGGAGTGGTAACGAACGGCATCCACGGGGCCGACGCCCTTGAATATATCTGTGCCATTATGCTCGACAGCAGACACATGACCATGCTTGACGACAGAGAGCCTGCGTAATTTGGCCCCGTTTTCAAGAGCTAAACTCTGAAGGCCGAGGCAAACGCCGAAAACTGGCAAAAGATGTGCGTCGTCAATCTTCCATAGGTCTTTGACGAGACCAATGTCCTCTGGAATATCTGGAGATCCTGGGCCGGGGCCGACGATGACACCAGAGAAATAGGGCAGATATGATGATAGATCTTTAAGTTCTATGTCATCATTCTTGATGATGTGCACGTAGCAATTTGGGATAGTCTTCCGACACAAGGCTGCTAAGCTATTGAAAATGGTTGAGTGGCATTCCTCAGTAAGAGTAAGAGGACTTACTTGTACGTGAAAGAGTCATATGAGTCGACCAGCAAAATCCTTGGGGGTTCAGGACTCATTGAAAACAGAAGAACAGGAAGGTAGAGAAAATGGAGAGAAGCTGAGCCTAAGTCTTAAGATAAGAAGAGAAAGTCGAAGAGATACTCATGAGTAAATAAGTTGGTATGTGGTAGATACCCATGACTCGGATCATCAAGTGAAACTCTCGGAGTTTCGGAGTCAATAATAATAGATCGCTAGTACAAGCACGGCTGAGACTCAGTGTCACTGTCAGCGAACGCTGATGAAGGCCAATGAACACACAACTCAACGATAGTCTATCACAACAATGGTTCACAAAGGTGCGTGCAACACAGTCTATATCTTTGCCTGACTGGATTGATCATCGATTTAGTTCAAATACATATGCGTACCGCTACTGGAGAAGTCACAGTTATCTGCCGGGACCGTAGCAAATATATTGCCTCTGCTGTCCAATCTTGAAAGCACACTGCTTGATGCGGGTGGAACTGGATTCACCCTATCTCAGTCCTTGGTGTCATACATATTTTTCCCATTATCCACAATCCTCCGCCGGAATGACTTGTCTGTCATCCCGGACCAAATTCTGGAGAAGATATTTGGTGTTCTTGCCATTCTATGTGAAACATGGTGGTGGTACTGCGACATACAGATATGGGACCAGATATTCAAGTTATCCAGCTCGGTCATCGGGGGTGTCGAAGGCAAGGGCAAGGGCAAAGTCAGGGATGATGAAACTAAAGAAGCAGCCGCACGATGTCTGTGGGCTATTCTTCGGGAACGTCGCGCAGACGAAGCGCCACAAGGATCTCCCGAGGAACTATTGCACACACGTGTTTCACAGTTTCAAGTTCATTCCCAGAGCCTGCAATTCATGCCTATCCTCGGACAGACTATCAATACGCTCCTTCTCACCGCAAAGTCTCCTCATCTCAAATTGCAACGCATTTCGCTGAGGATTCTGCGTGCACTCATCAGCGTATATGCTTCAGAGCAATTTTTACCTTCCATCTTACCCGGTGTCGTGAGCAGCATGACCAGAATCGCTCTTGGGATGTCGAGCAAGAAGGGATGGGTCAATGGAGATATCGTTGCTTTGAGTCTCGGGACCCTGGAGCCGGTAATCGTGAAGTCGTTAGGAGACGATGTATCCATCCGAGAGGGTGTCGTTCGGAGTGTCGTGGACCTGGAAGACTTTATCAACCTCACAGACGCCCCTGCGGTGGATCCGAAACCACCTGAGTTACCTCCCTACTTGACTCCACGTACTTCGAGTTGGTTGCGTGCGTCGGCATCCCAACTGCACATCGCGATAAATTCTCTAACACCTCTCGTGAATCATCCGACGCCGCTCGCTTTGGTTGCCTTGTCGTCTTTCTCAAGGACCATCCTTGCCTCCACATATTTGACTCTTTCCCAATCTCGACCTCTTCTATTGTCTTGGCTCTTGTCACTATCAAACTGTGCTTTCCCAGAGGTTTCGCAAGCCGCCCATCACGCCCTATCGGAACTCCTAACAGCCGCTTCAGATGCGAGACTACCGCTACTCCAAGCACTTCTTGAAATATCGAAAGAGAACCTCAGTTCTTTGCCTCGATCCATCGTTTCCCAGGATGACACCAAGGTGGAACATATCGCAGGCCAGATAGAGGCAATCTGCCGGTTGGCTACGTCCAGTAGCATGTCTTCTACAGGCCTCGGTCTGACGTCAATCTCCTTGGGTATTGACACGCTATTGGGGCCAACTGGCGGAATCGAGAAGTGGGGTTTTACTCTACTTTCTGTCTTGGAGTTCACAAGTCCACAAATGAGTGTCAGCCAGGGTTCCGTCGCTCAACTCTTGTTAGAGGACAATGCAGACAACCTGAACACAGTTAATTTCCCTGAGGTGATGTTAAAAAACGCTCTCGGAAGGTCCACACACGATGCTCTGGCTCGCATGCTACGCGCTTTGGGGAGAAGCAGCGGCGAAAATAGCATCTACGCTGTTGAATGGTTCATCAGTATAGGGCGGTATTCACGAACCAACAATGCCATTGCAGCATTATGGTGTGCTGCTCGCATCCTTGAAGGGATCAGCGGCTTTGGTCTGGACGAAGGTGGCATGGCTATTTCGAGTAGGCCCCGCAGCAGGAAACTGGAGCGGTTTGCAAGAGGCTTAGCTCGTGACCTCGCTGAGTCATGGGACGAAGAACCAGATCTCAACAGCCAGACTGATATTCCCCGCACGGATCGTCAGATGGATGACTCGTTGCTGGAGGTGGGATTTACAAGGGGCTTTAAGACTATCCGTGCCACCCTGCAGGTTGCAGAGCCACGAGCTACACTGCCCACTCTGTCCGAAGATCAACCCATGCTGCATCAGATATTTCGCTTGCAGTTGCTTTCAATCAGCGCGGGAATTTTGCAGGCTCGCTATACCCCCGTTCTTATCCAGGTCCTATATCCGGTTTTACATTCGATCGTATCGCCCACACCCCATCTTTCGTTGACCGGGCTCGCGACACTGCATTTTATGTCAGCAGCCATGTCATACGCCTCTCCAGCCAATCTCCTACTGTCGAACTTTGACTACGCATTGGACTCTGTTTCCCGCCGCCTTAGCCGCAGATGGCTTGACATTGATGCGACGAAAGTGATGGCCGTGCTTGTTCGCCTCGTAGGGGCTGATGTGGTGCAGAAGGCTGGTGATGTCGTTGAAGAATGCTTTGATCGTTTGGATGAGTATCATGGGTACGAAGTCATTGTCCAAGGCTTGGTGGGAGTGTTGGGAGAAGTGATCAAGGTCATCGAGGCTGAAGAGCCTCTCACCCAAAAGGAAGATCAGGACGACACGCAGTCGTCGATGATAACCAGTTCATTGGAGCCACTCTTTGAATGGCTTTCTCATCGGAAGGATCTTCCGCCTCATGAAGACGCTGGTGACCACGGTCCTGCCCCTCATAAGGCATGGGGTACTACCAAGGCAGATGAAGAATCTACTGAAAAACAGTCAGATAGTCCTACCACACAACCGAAAGTTGCCGAAGATACCGAGCCTGCGCCCACACCGGGACAAGCTTTAACCAAGCAGATGGTTTCACGATCTATCTATTTTCTTACACACGCTTCACCCGTCATTCGCGCTCGGATCCTGACCTTGTTAAGTTCCGCCACCCCGGTCCTCCCCGAGTCAGCCCTGTTACCATCTATTCATCTCGCATGGCCATTCATCTTGAATCGTCTTAATGACGCTGAGCCATTTGTAGTCAGCGCGGCTGCTGGCCTTGTGGAATCGCTCGTGACCCATGTTGGCAGTTTCATGGGCAGGCGAGTGTGGGACGATGTCTGGCCCCGTTTTGGCAACATTTTGAAAAAGCTAGACGCATCCGACAATCAGAATGCCCTTGCACGCCGTGGCTATGGAGCGGTAGGAACGGAATCAGCATACACTCACTCTCATCGCTTATATCGCTCCATTTTGCGGACGATGACAGCTGCCGTAGCCGGTGTCCACATGCAAGATGCATCCGGTTGGCAGGTCATACTCGCATTCAGGCGCTTCTTGCACAAACAGGCACACGAGGAACTGCAGGCCTGTGCAAGAGAGTTGTACGTCGCGCTCGGCAGGGGTAATGAAGATGCCGTATGGCTGGCGCTTATGGCGACGTGTGGACATTTGACTGGTGAAGTCGCTTACTTGAGAGAATACAGGTGGGATATACAAGACAATGTACGCGTAATCCTCGATGCGTAAAGGACGTTATCGTGATATCGTACCTTACTACATATCAATCTTCCAATCTTATGATTCAGGGGGTGGAACGTGTCGGAAGATGTCTACCCCAGCTTCCTGGAACAATCGTGCAGAAGCGTCATCTCTGTGGTAATTTGAGATAAATACTGCGTAATATGTCGACACACTTACACCTTATAGCTCAAATTGTAGACCACTCTTTTAACACCGCTCTGGATGATCTTGATGGTACATTTCAAACACGGACATCTAGGCCCAGAATGAAATCCAGCAGTAAAGTAGTAATGTTGTACCCACGTATTGCAATACATAGTGGCATTCGCGCCTACCCGATCTCTTCCTGCTTCCAAAAGCGCATTTTCTTCGGCATGTAGGCAAAGACATTCGGTACCATTAGTCGCCGATGTGCGATTGCAATGTCCGCATCCCCCTGCATTTTTATTAGCAAGTGACCGGGGGGAGGGAAAGATAACTACCGTCATTGCAGTTTTTGACACCACGAGGAGTACCGTTATATCTGTGGGCCGAGATAACAGCTTTGATATCCGAAGTACAACTTGGACATACCCTGTGGAAACGATGCGGTTTTCACGGACAAGTATGGCGCCCACGCGGCGTTTCATACAGTTGGAACGTTGCGAAGCAAGATCTGCGAGCGTCTGAAGCCCATCTAATCCATCTGAATCCATCAATGATGTAGAACAACGTTCATACCATGAAATAGGTATCCCATTGAGGTCTAAGTCGATTGGTATTCGTAATATCTAAAGAATCCAGGTGATGATAGAGTTCTGTGATGGAATCGAAGGAATTGACGATTTTGAGTTTGACCTGTGGACTTGCGCGGCGGAGCAGTGAAAACCCTCCGGGAGAGTGTGGCCCTACTCTGTCTCCAAACACTTCGTGGTCGTGTGCCTGCACGAAGTCTTCGAGAGTTGCTATGTTTATTAGACTAAGTTGTGCCTCAGCTAAACGTTCAGCATCAGCTGACGAGATAAATACCGGTGGCAACGGTGATAACGTTGCAAGATGGGTGCATCTATGCTAATTAGCATGAAGAACGGGCGCCTGATGAAGTAGTTCACTAGTCTGTCTGAGTCGAGGTCAGTCGTAACAAAATTTGAGCGCCAATGCTGTGTGACGTGATCCAGCAACAGGGCTGGTGAGGCAAAGGAAAGAGTTTTCACGTTTGAGTTTTGAGAGGAAGATAGTGATGCAGTGGGCGAGTCCAAAAGGCGTTTGTGCTCATCGCCAATGGTATTGGGCCGCAGCGGAAGCAGGGGCAACACCGGCGAGACAACCGGATTTTGAACGCTTGCTGAGATCTGAGGGGACCATTGTTGGTCTTTTGAATTCAGAGAACAGGGTGTTTGGCAGGACCTGCCTCTACATCCTTGTCGTGTAAGTGGACAGACGTAAAGTCTTTGGTGGCTAGGTAATTTTCGACAGTGGACTTGCCCGAAAAACGCAAACCAATTATAGCAATAAACATCGAGGCGTGATACACACGAAAGACAAAGTAGCAGGTCGAGGCGAATGTTGCGAATATCAAGAAGTCACGTGATTTATTATAATACATAAAATAAACAAATGACATCATTGGAGGGCTGCTAATACTTCAAATTTTCGTCGAACGTAACGTTGCCTATCAAGGGTTGGTCATGTGTCTGGTGTCTTTTTAGCCGCCATATTTCAGTGGGTGGTGCGCGGCGAATTGGAATTAAGGATATCGGAATATTCGGCCAGGCTGTCCCGGAGCGTGTACTGATGGGCCAGGCACAAATTGAGTCAATGCGGGACATTCATCTTGATCGATATTCGAGAGTATCATAGCTCACTGGAAGTATAGATCTCGGCGTTTACATGAATACCACAGCCTCTGGTCTGGGGCCAATTTGAAGAATCTTGGCAAGTGTGGGCTCAGCTGAGCCCTTCAAGTTTAGTAAGAAGATTGGTATCAGGCGCTACTGACTCGAAGCTCCTTGAAAGTCGGATCTAGTAGGGTGACGTGCGGCGACAGACGGTGAGGGATAAGGCCAGAAGATTGACATCGGATCGGCACGACAATATTACAAAAACGACAGCTATGGAAGAGTTGTCAACATCAAGAATTACTTGAGACGCAGTGCCGCCATCGGAGAACCTTGGAGTCTCCTTTACGTTGATTAACGCCTTGATCTGACGTGGTACGATGTAGCCGAGGACTCCGATAACACTGGGTTTCAAGTCTCTTGTTGATGGTCATGTGGTTGAGAAGGCAGTACAGGATCATTAAGAATGACCAGTGACGGCAAAGAAGCAGAATCCCGGAATATGCAGAAGTTTCTTGGTCTAGATAAGGGACGCAAGTGGAATATAGCGCCTGCCTTGACATTATCTTCCGCGCTTTGCGAGTGGTCATGCTAGTGTCTAGAAGACATATGTTGCACATTTAGGGCCCAGCTTAAGAAGAGTTGAGTGCGTCAGTTGGGAGCAGATCAGATCAGATCGGATCCGTTCTAATAGAACGGAAAGTATATTTGGACCATGTTTGGTGTTGTTTGCATCGCAGGGCCGGTAAACAAGTTTAACAAGTTTTGCCGTGAATTAAGTATTAGCTTGAAGCTTAGCTTGAAGGTTTACAGTTCACACCGACAGGCTTTGAACACAACCCAGGCTGGCAGATTCGATGATGCATATGGCAGACAAAATCATCTTGTTTTCCTCCCAGGAACCACGCATGTTGAATGAAAAAAAATTACAACATGCTGTACGAGCGCTAGTAGTAATCAGGCAGGCATAGCGACATTTTTCACTCCCCACTGGCTGGCATGCATGTCATCCGGTCGATCGGTCTCCCAATTACAGCTTATCTGCAGTGTACACAGACTCTCATGGGCTTCGCACGCACCGTTCCGCCGCAAGTCAATCAGATGCGTCCCGGCGCATAGCCTCGAGGGATTCGAATTTTATTCATTTTTGGTCTGTGGGATTTCATATTGCTACCTGGTACCAGTAACGTATAAAGAGGTGCGCCATTTTCAGCTGCTAAAATTTTGTCAACGGCGCCTCGACTGCCGTTCCATCTATTTACGATGATCGAAATCCAGGATGTAGCTGCCCGAAAACGAAAAGAGCGCGAGGCAAAGCTATCCGCATATCGCAAAGGGCGCATTTATGTTCCAAGGGATGCCGTCGATCTTTCGCAGTACCCGCTCAGCAAGCTCACAGAGACGGAGCGTATCATCGTCCATTGTGATGCAACAGCGATCGTAGATTTGATCCGAAAACGAGTCTATACTGCGCAGGAAGTTCTGCGGGCCTTCGTTAAAGTAGCGGTGGCTGCCCAAGATGTCACCAACTGTCTTTCAGAAGTTTTGCTTGATGAAGCATTCCACCAAGCCAGCAAGCTTGACCAACATCTAGAAAACACTGGAAATGTCATAGGACCACTGCACGGTTTACCAGTATCCATCAAAGATCACATCAAAATAAAAGGTCTGGACACTTCGTCAGGATATCTTGGTGAGTACTATATGTTCGGCCCAAACCAGTCGTTTATCGCCCTTTTTATATCAAGGCTGGGCATATAAAACTGTTGCGGACAGGGACGCACTGCTGGTAGAAATTCTACGCAACGCCGGTGCGATTCTATACGTCAAAACACAGACTCCACAAACTTTACTTGTCAGTGGTGTTGTGTACGTCTTTGTGCATTCGCTTACCTGGTTTTAGTCACTTGAGACGGACAACAACGTGTTCGGCAAGACTATTAACCCGTTTAATCGCAATCTGACCCCAGGAGGAAGCAGTGGCGGCGAAGGGGCGCTAATAGCATGTCATGGTAGCCCTATGGGCGTTGGAACCGATATCGGCGGGAGCATTCGGATCCCTGCAGCCCATTGTGGTTTGTATGGGCTGAAAGGATCAGTGGCACGTCTGCCACATTCTGGTCTCTTGGGCTCTCATGACGGGATGGATGCAATCGTGGGTTGTGTCGGACCGTTGGCAAGGTCTGCAAGGGACCTCGAGTTATTCTGTCGAGTAATGCTCGATGCAGAGCCGTGGCTCAATGAACCTGCACTCCTGGAAATGCCATGGAAAAGAGGTGTGGCGAACGGGGAAGGTTTACCGGACAAACTTGCGATTGCTATCCTTTTTGATGATGGCGTTGTTACACCGCATCCTCCAATTACGCAGGCCCTGAACAAATACAAACACGCCTTAGCACGTGCTGGTCACGACGTGATCGAATGGCAGGCGGTGGATCATCAGAACGGATGGGACCTCATTGTAAGATACCTTTGATTTCCGGTATTAAATCTAATGGGTTTATTCTTCGCGTAGGCGAAGCTGTATCTACTGGATGGCGGAGCGGAGTACCACGAAACCATTAGAGCAGGTGGAGAGTCCGAGGTACCTCAAACCGAATGGATCCTCAAACACGCACAGGGACGAGATCCGTATACGCCTGCAGATATATTCAAGCTCAACTTGGAACGGGAAACGTTCCGTTCGAAAGCATTGGCACACTGGAATGCTACGCAACGACGTACTGTTAGTGGGCGTCCTGTGGACGCCATTCTCTGTCCGGTTGCGCCTACATTGGCTCCGCCCCATAACACGACCAGTTGGTGGGGTTATACCTCTCATTGGAATCTGTTAGACTTGCCAGGCGTTGCCTTTCCCGTCGATCGGTTCACTGCCACAGCATCTGCCACCTACCCACCTCTTCCACATTCAAGGAATGATCTTGAAAATTTTATTCATAGTCAATGGAACCCAACCACATATGATAATACTCCCATATCTCTACAGCTCGTGGGTCGGAGGCACAACGAGGAAAAGTTGTTGGCTATGCTAAACGTTTTGGAAAAGGTGTTTAAAGAGAATGCCTTGTAAGCCCGAGAGAGGTGTTCAAATATTCATATAAGTAGTATCTAGGTGACTGTTAACACGAGTGTTACATAATATCTTCGTAGAATGCAAATACACTCAATATACGCTATGGACAACGTTCCTTGTAAAATTCATTGCATGGCCTCATGACCATCGTACGACCTCCGACCACGATGTGCATTACGGCATGTCTGACCCTTTTTTTTTTTTTTTGGTCAAGTCACCAGGGACCTTGAAACGTTTTCACAAGCGCTCCTTGGGCGCTCCCACTTATCTTGAACAGTTTTTGAACGTGGAATTACTACCACTGCCTATTCCCCCTTTGTATACAAGGTCGGAGTACGTGGAGAACGTCGCCGATACGTTGCATGTGGTTCACAACGTATCTCCCATGTGACTCCGCGCTGGCCTCCGCAATGCCCCCACAGGATGGCACTTGCAAGCTACTACTGGCAGGCTGAGGCCTGTGCTTGGACCGTTCGTCAGCATATACTGTCTCACGAAAAGACAACAGACTCTTCGATGCTGTACCCTTAAAGTGATCGCCGGAGCGGTGAGTGTCATCAACCGAATACTGTATGATGGAGTCGCCTGCCAGGCGAGTACCTTAATCATCTATGGCCACAGGATGGAGGACTTGGACGGCAAGTCTTCCATTATCTGTGCCACAACGTTCAATTTATTGTATTTTCCTATCCCTGTATAGTTATTCTCCACGTTTTCACGTTCGTAGACGTTGGCCCTCTTATCCAGCCTGTGCTTTCTATGAGTATCGGAACGTTTAGGTTAGATTCTTGAGAAAAGGTAGTGCCGCAGGTGCTGTAGCTGCAGAAATTTACTACTATAAAGCAAAAGCGGGCTCGAGGATCCAGCTACACTCATACCCAGTCTTCTAACCTCCTAGCCTTTTAACCTTCCAGCCTTCTGACCTTCCAATCCTCACATAAAGCATGCCTGGCTTACTACTCTCCTCTATTCAGCGCTTTGACCTCTCCACGGGCATCTCAGAGGCTGGATGGCACGCTCTACTCTCTAATGCTGCTCGTGCCAATCTTGTTCTTCCCCATGCAGAGAAAGTTTTTGGCCGTCAAAAATTCACGCCCAAAATCGATGCTGCTGACCAGCTTTGGTTGGCATATTCGCAGCCTGGAACTTCCGAAATATCCCTCGTGCTTTCCTGCACAGAGGGACCGCTAGACAAATACCCCCTGTTCATCATTCCCACAATCCCCATTGCTGATTTTACCCCCGAGCTCATTGAAAGCTCCACGGAGGCGCTATGCAGCGCACTTCTGGACGAGCCTGGCTTCAGGAAGGAGCGAGTCTTTTCCATTTTCTCCGTTGAGACCATCGCAGAGGCCTTCGCTCTGACATGGGAAAGACTCACAGGGATTGGTCGCATCGAGGAACCGTATTACAGTGCATTTTTCTCGGTGTGTACCGAAAGGACATTGGTCCGCCAACAGCGGCCTCCTCGTCCATCAGAGGATGTAATGCTCGACCCGCGGCTTGCTGTAGAACAGGACACTGAAGATATTGCTGTACTGTGCCACGATTTTGCAGCAACTTCGGTATGTCTATTGCATCCTTTTTCTAAAGGTCAAAACGTTTATAAATGAATCTCTTTAGCCCCCGTTCTGCCTCAGTATGGAGAAAGCCCGCAAAGAAGCTAGGCTTTTGATTGCAAATAAATCAGTTTGGGTCCTCGAGATCAAAAGGGGCAATGAAAAAACCGAAATTGCCACTATTGTTGCCGCGACGCGGAAGTCAGAAGGCATTGCTACCATCTCAAAGGTCTACACCCCAGATAAATGGAGGGGTAAAGGCTGTGCTGAGAAATTAGTTCGACATGCCTGCAGCGAGTACGTACTAGCGGCTATAATATTGCAACATGAACCTAACTTCTTTCTGAACAGGTTGCTGGATAAGTATAAGGAAATCGTCTTATACGTCGGTGTTGATAACTCCGCCCGGATAGTGTATGGCCGCGTGGGTTTCCAGGGTCTTGATGATGAGTCTCCCTTGTCCGAGCGATGGCTCGAGATTGGTTTCGATCAAGATAAAGTCGAACTCGGTCATTGGTAGATTTTGAGCATATTTCTGGGTCGCTTTGGTTTCTCTGCTTTGCGTTGCTCTGCATGGTCGTTCATACGTCCCTCTAACATCCCACTTCTTGTCTGTAGCATTATCATTCTCTATTGCTTGACTGTATCATAGCATGTGTGCTTGTGTATTTCTTCTTGATCCCTTGTATGATTCGACTACACGTTGTACTTGTGTATTTCTTCTTGGTCCTTTAGACTACCCGATACCAATAGATGTATAATCAATCCTCTCCTTGTCTGAGCCACCGATCACCAAAGGCTTCGTCATCAGGATACGCTGCATTCAGTTCTGGGCTCAACAGAAACCTTGCTCTCCCATCAACTTGAGTCAAGTCCTCGAAGTACATCCCTGCTCGTGGTGCGTCTGTAAAAATTCTGTGAACATGAGCTGGTTCTAGACATGTCGCCCTAATATTATCCTCTGCAACATCTGTGGCATCGCAGAAATATCAGCCCTGGCATTGAGATGTAGGGAGTGCACTTACAGCGCAAGGAGCCACTCTGATCTAGAGCGTGATAAAATGGTTGATGACGCCCTCGGGAGAGCAAATCGACACCCATCTCACGGATCCAGTCCTCGTCCGCTGCACAGGAGGGCTAACAAAAAAAAATACAATGAGTGATGAAAATAGCATATCAACTCAACACCCACATCCCAGCCGTATACATATCCTACGTATCCGTGGGCTGCGTGCTTGAAAACCATGCCAACGAAGAATTTCACCTCCCGTGTGAGTGCAGAACGAGGATGAGAGGTAGTAGCCGCTTCCTTCTCGTCCTCCATGATAGCGTTGCAATGCGTCGTAAGCTGCTCTTGGAGGTATGGGTGTAAAAGAGGAGTCAATGAATCGACGAGCACTGGCAGCAGATCAAGGAGGAACCGATTGATATGTTTCATTATATTCAAGAGATACCTGCGGTCGTTCATAAAGATGGCATTGATCGTAAGGCTGGCATATATTGCTGTGTGCAGCTCGACTTCGGGAGCTGCTGCTCCTGCGGGAAAGTTGTTGACGGACGCTAAGACATTCCGGGATGCCCGCAGCAGCATGGAGGTGGAGGAAGCACTGCTAATCCATGGGAGTATTGTATTGGTGTGGATTCCTGCTTGAATAAGGAAGCGCGGAATATCGTCATGGAGCGTCAGAATGGCTTGTGTTCGTGAGCCAAAAACGTCGACAAAAAATTCTAAGACATCTGGGTGGGGAGAAGATACGACAGCCAGAACTCTGCTAGGAAAGTCGGTAGGTGATGCCGTGACGCCCATCTTGCGTGCAATGCACACGAAAATGTATACAAGTGATATGGGTATGGTTGCCTGGTGCGTGGTTAAGAAAAGGTGAGGAAACCGATTTTGCAACATGTGAAACCGCTCTCCTGAATTGTCGTCGTTGAAAAATGTATTGTTATATCTAAGGAGAGCTCACCATCCGCGGCTTCAAAGCCACAGCTCCACAAAAAATCGCAGATTGACGAACAGACGAGTCTGAGCTTCCCAGAATCACTGGTGAATTCAGCAGGATCAAGGGGAATTTGGTGCTCGATGAAGTAGATTTTGCAGAGAGTCGCAAGTTCTTCGAGTTGGGACAAGACCTCGAAGGAGTTCAGCAACCGTTAAGAATGAACAAACTGAAGCTACGAACCTTCATGGGAGGGTAAACGAAAAAGCTGGACATACAAGCGAACGAAAGCTCAAGCGATTGGGGTGTGTCATTAGAGATAAGTTTCCCCCAGGTGTAAACAGCATCACTTCTAGCAATAGCACCAAGAAGCATTTGAGCCCAAAAGCGAAGGGGAACTGCATGAGGTGGAACGGGCCTCCGATCTGGAACTCCTGGCTCGCGGAATGTGACCGGAAGCGGACAATTTGCGGCATTCTCGAGGACATTCCATGCGTCAAACGAGAACATGGTATTGACCTCTCGCGCTCTTTCTAGTCTTCCATCACCCCGTTCCATGACGATCTTGAACAATATCTGCAATGTCTCGAGGTCTATGCGTCGCCTCTCAAAATACATCAGTCGCCAGTCGCCACCTGTAGATCGCTTTCGCGATTGCTCTTTCGTGGGGTCACATATTGTGTATCGGGCACGGTAATGTGGCTCCCATAGTCTCGAAACAGATGCAGCTGCTCGAAGCAAAGTGCTTGTCTTTAAGCAAGATATAAGCACAATAATGCTCTCGTCGGAACCTGTCAATGGTGTTAACTGCTCCAGAATCTGTACATAGAGGTCAAAGGGAAGTTCCCGTATCGTCATCGCCGCAGTGGTAGGCTTCTATGATCTTGCACATGGTATGACAAATCATCCATACTAACTAGGTCACGTGAACAATTGATAGGCTGAGAGAGATAGCTTGCGAATGTTGACTTGTATAATTCGAGATACCGAATTCTCGAAAGTCCTGCGTGTAACGTGGTATTTCTGATGGACACAGTTTAGATCGTAATCTATCGATGAAACGCAATTTGCCGGGCACGAGGTCGAGGAAATCGGATGTCCATTTGACGAAGACCTTCGTCTAATAACTACGTGGGAGTAGAAGAAAGACTGTAAGCGAAGATAATGTCCACAACTATAGATAGCGAGAGAAAACGTCTGAGTATACGTAGACTTAACTAGTCCTTGGGGTAAATTCGCACAGTTCGGTTCCCCTTCGCTTCTGCCATGCTACAATTAGTATTGGTATCATTTCAAAGCAATTCGTCCATCGTCTGCAGCATGTTCTCCCAGAACTGCTCCACCATTACCTTATCAAAGCCATTCTTATCATATCCAAGGCTGACCCACAACTTGCCAGCGAACGTGTACCCAAATAGCAGCATGCCTCCGGACCGCTGCCGCGAACCAGTCGTTAGTGTGTGGAGCTTGATAGTAGGGAAGGTTCCATGTTTGTATATGCCATCGAGGTTTCCTAGAAGGGATAAGCCAATTAATGCGGCAGAAGGCGTGCGTGGTGCGGTTTCCACGGCCGGAACAGGAGGAGGAGGAGGGGGGACAAATGTTCCACGTTCCCTTTCATCGTCTTCTTTAGCCCAGATACAAGCCCGTTTTCCCCTCTCTTCAGTCATCAAGAGACTACGTGATACGATCATCTGGTTTTTGGCAGCTTGAATGCTCTGCTCCTTTGCAACCCGGGCCCGATGCCAGAATACCGAGGACAAGTCGATCGACCGAGGTATAAAAGTTGGGAGAATCACGTTGAAATAGCCAATCGCAAGAAACCAATATGAATCATTTGCTGGCTTCACCGTGAAATATGGGCGCAGGTTTAGAGCCGAGTACATCATCCTGCGCAAATGTTGGATATGGAAGGCATAATCGAAATGTCTTGACTTACATTGACAAGTCTTGTTTCTCAGAGCACATCTTTGCCCAAGCAATGTTACATGCAGCAAACGTAGCTGCGGAGACGGAAACACCATGCGTTTTGCATCTTTTCAGAATGCTTTTCGTCCGCTCAGTATCATACGAAACAGTCGGAACAATGGTATGCCTAGGCTGCTTTGTTTGTCGCCGGAACGAATGACCGCCCTACCGAGTTGTGAACAGACCACCCGTCAAGAAAAGGCACAATATTCACCACAAATCTTCTCTGACTTAACTGGAAGTCGACCTTTTCGGCTGCCCTGCGCAGTCTACTAGGACTGACGGTAAAGTTGTCTTCCAAGGCATTCGGTAATACGGCGATCTGGAGTCGGTACTCAGCTAAATTTGAGACCACATAAGAGATGCATACCGTAGAGTCTGCGCCCCATCGGGAGCTGAGCTCCTCCTTCAGCTGAGCCTCAAGTTCAACAATGGTTTTGTCACCACCGAGCAGTCCAAAAAAGTCGTTTGCAAATTGGTGCAACGCCATGCCATCCCCCAAAAAGTGAGCGGCACAAATCATGATGTCATGATTATATGAAGGATATTCGGGTTCGTCAAACGGTGACGTAGAGCGAGGCGTTAGAGGGGGGCTAGGTAAAGATGTGCCTCCTTGAGACACAACAAGATAGGACAAGCGGTCATTCGACAATGTTCGTGCTCCATTTAGATATGAATCGATGAGCTCTAGGACTCACATGAATTTCAAGAAATCGGGACATCAACGTGGACGTACCATCCTTGGTTGAAGATCTGTATTCCAAATTGCCGTCTGCATCAACCAGAGCATCTTCAGGAGATTGCGGGGGGTTGAACCTGGGCATGGTAAAGCCATGTGGTTGCAACATCAAGCTAGAAGCTGAACTTACACAAATCTGACGTCGTCATAATCTTGCATAACGACCTTTGAAGCCAACAGCGGATGGCGAATACGAAGGATTGCCCAGACCATAAGAACACGGGCCCGGCGAACGACATGCGCTGGAGCAACGAAGCCCAAGTGAAGGTACCTACGAGGTGATACAACTTATCATGAGATGCCCGTATATTGAAGAGATGGCTTTGAAAGCTTACATGTCATTAACGCCATCCGCGCGAGAGGGAAGAAAGTAAGATAGTTCATTGTTGCCCAGTGGGCGTTCCACCTTCCATGTATCTTTCAGAGATGAGCAATAGCTTCTATGAGGTTTCACCTCCGAGTCCGAGTCGGAGACGCTGTACGAGGCATCCAACAGCACTGGAGGTGAGGTATCCATATCCTCTTGGTTGCTTAGGGGAGATGAGTGAGGGCATCTTATACCAATACCATTTCATTTTGCTTGCCCTGGTTTAGGACTGAAGCCGATCAAAACGATCTCGACCTGGTTCGTTGAAGTTCGGTTTGCAGTGAGTGGTTCAAACTTTGTTATTATGAGCAGAAGTTCACTGCCAATGTCATCTGTCGTCACGGGACAGCTTGGACGGACGGTCGACAAATGGGGATACGTGGCATTTGATTTATGGAAGGCACTCAGGTGACTGCGCGTGTCATGGTTCACATGCCTGACTGCTGCACTTGTACTAACTTTTATCCACCAGGAACTAATTTCAAGAACTTCTATGTGATGTAATTCCTTGGCCAGGTTATCGATAGCCGACCCGACGGACTAATGCCGTTACTGGTGTATATGATAACGGCTCGACTCGGAAGACCCATCGTGCGAGAGCAATCGCGTAACTACAATCGATGATGGCCCGGGAGTTCGAATGATGATCAAGGCTGTCTCATCCACGACGACCCAGAACGTTACTCGGACTTAAAAGTATCCGACGGATGCAAACTACATTGCGCAATTGATCATGACATCGACTTCGCTTCGTCGTCCCTGTCGGTGTCACCGGCCTGATTGTAGGCACGCCAAACACGACATATGTAGCTAATGACTTGCAGTGCGTAATATGATTGTTCGTAAATGTGCGTTGATGCCAGATGGTAAGTAAGTGTCTGTAAGAGTCGTACTAATAACAATTGTCTCGGGTAGCAATATACCTGTTGTGATGATCACTCACGAGTCACGACATATGTCCGTGCCTATTATAAGGACACGAGTGTCGACGGTTCCTTACGCCTTCTCATCCTCTTCCGATACTCCGAAAACTACCGTAGCTTCGCCATCATCAGAATCTTCTTCGCGTTTCCTATTTCCTATAGCCTCGAGGTCAACATCCTTGCGCGGCGGAGGTGCGGTTTCCAACGATTTGATCCAGGTGTAATAACTAATTACCAGGAACGAATGTGCCATCAGTACTCCTGCAGGATCTAGACTTCAACAATACAGGCACGTACATGGTGCCTATCATGATAACCAGAATAGAACTTGCGCGATTGCTGTGCGAAGATAGAGTTCATCTCGAAGACTTTATGGATCAAAATCGAGTACATACACCGTCATGATGTCCTTGAATATCCAGACACCCAGCAGGGTTTGAATAACAGATCTTAAGGCCTGCGGCAATAAACTCCCATCAATATTCTGTATACAGTGAAGATGACTTACGCTAGAGAACATATGTGTGATAGGACTTGTAACCTTGATGCTGAGCAGGCCGGCGATACAAAGTAAGAACCCGAAAATGCCAGTCACGACACTCCCCCATAGGAATACTTGTCCGTCCCAATTCGAATCGTGAATAAGGTCCTCAAGGATAAAAATTTCTTTGTGAAGCAAGACGAAAGGGAGAAGGAAAATTGCAGAGCCCAAGTTGGTCCAGTATGCAAGTTGAATGGTTGAGTTGTTGCAATAAGGGAGGGAGGACTTGATAAGAACAGCATGGAAAGCGATAAAAAGCGACGAGAGGAGACCATATAACAGGGAAAGACTTGAAGGTGCAACATGGGAGGGAACTGCTGCAGACGGTGCCACGCCGAGCAAGAAACCTATGGTAACTGACCCAGCAGCAATTCCAACTCGAATAGAAGGCACAGTGCGAGTGTGTGCAGAGAATACAACGATGGTCAGAGGTAGGACAAGGCCACGCGCAATCTGTGGAGTTAAACGGCGATCTTTACATTGCTAGGAGACCACACACTTGGAAGAAAGAAGCCTCGACATCACGAAGGCAAAGAGTATTAAAAATGAGTCCAATAATGTTGACAAGGACCACAGGTGTGAGCTTCTTCGCGGTTCCAAGCTCGAGCTTGGGTATCTCGACACGTGTAATGAACATAGCCGCCACGTGGAGAAGTATGACTGCGATGAGTAGTTGCAGGAGGAGGAATAGCAGCGGTAAATCCGGTGAACCATTAAGAACAGCTTTGTTCCTGCACTCAGAGTTTGAGTCAATGTCCACACTCTAGCTAGACCATCTTACACAAAAACCATCTACCAGTGTGTTTGTTAGGGGCTAGAGTCACATTATGCATGGCATAGGCTACTCACCACCAGTGCGGCGGACATGTAAAACCCCACGACCGCCGCTACCTTCGGTGTGTTCGCGTCAAAATACCTGTTATTCATGCTTTCCGGAATGGGGGGACTGGAAGAACACAGGGATCAACTTGTGGTTTTAATGTGGGACAGATTACCGCTAGGACAGCCGGAACGAACTGGTTCAGAACGTTCATCGTTCGGGTGAGCTAAGAAACCGGAATTCTCAAAATGGCAGGTGTAGATCAGGGGTGGAACTATTAGTGGTTCATTCGCGGTGTCATGCGCTTTCCCACGACAACGCGTCACAGCTTCACCGGAACGTGATTATATCGGTACTCCCCCTCCTAGGGCCTAGCTCATACAAATGCTGATGTGAATGATCGATATGAACCTTGCTCCCACCCTCGTCTAGACGTGTCATGGACAGAAGATCAGACGAGTTTCTGCTAGGAGAAAGCCCAACACGAGAGGCGGCATACGACGACCCGGAGAGCCCTTTTATTCCTACATTCCGCGCCAAGCCAATGGCATCCGTTAAGGGCAGAAAGCGACCTCTCAGGACAATCTGCATAGTTCTGGTGGCCGTTTCTTTGCTCAGCTTTGGAGTTGTTCTGCTCAAGCCCTTGAGCTATTTGGACATTGACTTTGAAAAGGCGGCTGTGTATCCCGCTACCTTCAACTCGCAGTCGTACGTCCAAGGCCCACCCACTCAGCGTTTTCGAGGTCAGTCAATTCGTTTGAGACATTCCTCTCGAATTTCACAACACTGGTCCCAGATAACCTTCGTAACGACACAAAATACATTACATCGTGGATTTCTGCAGGCTGGAGTACGTCACCCTCAGCCCGCTATTCGCGCTACTGACCGCAGTTACTTACTAGCGAATGACGTGATGACCTATGTAAGTCATTGATCCGCTTCCATTCTCGCTTGCTCACGGAAACTAGGGAAATTTGATTTACCTCGCACTCATAACAGAGCGTATACCCATAATTGCGAAGTTCATTCCTTCTCATGTTGACAACAGTGCACCCCCATTTGCTTTTGGTGAAGTGTTTGACGTCCCTCGGCTCAGCCAAGCCATAAAGAGTCCCATAATTGAATGGCACGAAGTGAAGGACTCAGAAAGCGAGGTTCTCGACGACCTTGGCTGTTGGAGTCTTTGGGAAAGCGTCCAAAAGACCCAATCCCATCCTCGGGGAAGTTTTTCCCTTAATTGGCTCAAGCTCGGTGAGACAAATTCAGACACCCCTATCTGATGATTAACTAGGCGGTGATCACAGATGTCTCGTGGACACGAACCCCAGATTGGGTCAAGCTGACTGCTCCCGGCGTAACAGACAGCCATGCTTCCTTTTGGTCCCTTGCCACATTGGGATTTCCGGAGGCTCGCGCCAATAATTTGCAATCAACGAATTATCCTTCCCCTCAACATCAGGTTTCCCTTCCCCCGGATGACCAGCTGCTATGCTTCGATTATTTGTACTACATGGGTGCACAGAATGCATGGGAATGGGAATCAGACTATGGTCCTACATGGAGATTTGTGGGCCAACATATGCGCTGGAATGCAAGCCTCGAAAGTCTTGCTAATGAGCATGCTCGGCGCGCTATGAATGTGCCAGTAAATGAGCCAACACCACCCGTGAGTGACAGCTTCAGGTCCAAGGTTGTTCCATGGGTTTAACTGTTCATAGTATATATCTATCCACATACGGCATGGTGACTTCCGCAATTACTGTAATGATGTACCTCTGGACCAGTGCTTTGCCTCGTTGCCTGTCATTGCGCGCAGGGTGGCCGAGGTGCAAGAAGAGCTGCGCACACAAAAAGGTATTGAAGTCACACAAGTTATCATGACGAGCGACGAACGTGACCCAGAATGGTGGTCTGGGGTCAGGGCATTGGGCTGGACGTGGGTTGATTATACAACAGAGCGGACAGAGGAGATCTATGGAAAGTGGTGAGCCGAATAGATGCCGTCTTTTCCTTCTGATGCTAGAAGCTGCGGTTGTCAGGTATCCGGTGTTCATTGACGCTGTCATCCAATCGAATGGAGCTGGCTTCGTTGGCACTCACGGCTCCACGATGACCACCCTAGCTCGTCGGAGAGTGGAATCGTGGCATGATGGACCAACTCGAGTCGTCAAATGGGGCTCCCCGAACGCTGATGATCACTGATATAATTGGATCGATGGAATGGAAGTGAACTTTGCGCCGTAAATATTATTAGTCTAATGGACCAAAGTTGATATCGTTGCATTTTTAGACTTGTATCTAGGTCGTTCACATGGACACGCCTCATGTACCAGTCATTTATAATACACACATCGTACCGAGTCCAGACGTGATTGACATGCCTTGATCAATGAGAATATCTTGATTGTAGGGACTTCTATCCTCGGGTACCACGGTAGGTCGGAGCCGTTAAACTGTCTGGTGATGCAGCGTTTGTACCGACTTGATAGCCTATCAAGGACCCTCGTCCACTGTCGGGTGAGTATATACACAAATGACTCCACCTATTCGTGCGGAAATAAGCAAACATGTAGACGAGAGAATAGAATTAGACCCACTCAAAATACTCGAGTCTAAAACGTCTGATCGATGGGTATCGAGCAACGCATCTTGACCAATTGAACAAGGGCCCTATTGACTGGCATAGGAATATTATATTGTTCCCCTAGCCTGACTAAGTAGCCGTTTAGGAAGTCGATTTCTGTTGGGTTGTTCTTCCTGATGTCGGAGAGCATAGATGACATGTTGCCTCTTGTTACGTGTGTTACGCGCAGGACTTCGCGTTCAAGAGCATCTGCTCCCAGTTCTTTTGGGACACGCCCCACTGGCACCTGGCTCTTATCCACGCTGGGAGGTAGAGAATCGAGCCATGATTGCGTGTCCGCTTCAATCTGTGCACGGAAAGCAGTAGCAGCCTCTTCGCAGACGCTGCGCATCATATTCTGTGACGAGTCGTCCTTGAATAGACCGCCATTCCGGCAGCCTAGAACGGCCGTCAGCGGATTCACGATGGCGTTCACGACGAGTTTCCTGCGCATCGCGAGTTGGATGTCTGCAATAGGACTCCATTTGCACCCAAGAGCATCGAGAGATTGTAATACGGCTACCGTGTGTCGTAGGCTGCGGTACTGGTCGAATGAAGGGTCATCCGGACGTGTGATGTCGTCCAAAATGAGTGATCTCTCATACACCGGCTCGCTTTCATCCGCCATGGCTGCTTCAAAATCACGCTTGCGGCTATCCGGGACGATCCCAAATGTGATGTCCCCAATTCCCGCATGAACTACATGGAAGGCTGACTTGAGCCACGCCCCGTGGGTATTTGATGCCAAGATAAAGTGTGGTCTGCTTTCCGGGTTGCGGAATATTCGCTCGACGAGGTCTTCATATAATCCCATGCCATTTTGTAAGAGCACGATGGTACTACGAGAGGTGAGGCGTGGAGCTAGACGTGACAGTGCAGGCGCAGTGCTATGCGCTTTGGTCGTTATGAATAATGTTTCGATGGGTTCTGTCCGTAAATCTTCATGGCTGGGGGTGAATCCGGCACTCTGCTCCTTTGAAAGCTTGGGGTTGAAGCGCACTCCACCACCTGCTCCGCTATGCTTGTCGAACACCTCAATATCGAAACCGTCTGTGGACTGTCGAATTCCTTGGTTTTCAATTGTTATTTTTGCAGCTGCATTCTGCGGCGTCCACGCCTGCTTGGCAGTTTTTTGGATGAGAGTGACTGGGTGCGTGCGTGGCAGAACTGATCGTAAGTTGTGTGCGAGGAGGCAGCCAATGGGCCCGAGCCCGAGGACGTAGAAACGCATGTTACTGGTACTATTCAAATCCTCAGGTGCCAAGCTGGACATTCACGCTGACGATAAAAGGTTTATGTGATATTCGTAATAAAATAACGAAGATCGGACGCACTCGACGGGAGAAGGAGAAGTTCGTGGTGTGAACAGCTGCTACACGACAAACTATTGCACTCAATGAGTCACACGCATGTGTAGTCGGTTTGAAAAGAACGGTCTTCGTCGTCGTCGTCGTCGTCGTCGTCGTCTGCCACGTTGACAGGATAAATGTCGGGGAAACCCCAGTTTTATTCTCGCGAGTTCACGTGCCGTACTGAAGCCAGTGTGAACTTGGAGAGCATGGCGCAACGAGCCTATGTCACAAGGACACCAATGCGTCTCCAATCTTCTATCACGGAGAATTTTCGGACCGTCAAATCGAAATTTAAAGGTCTTTCGGCGAGCCCATCGATCTACCAATCGATCCCATCGTTACTCTGATACTCCCACTTCATTTTGCGCTCACCAGTCATGGCCTCAATTGTTTTGAAGAGAACCCAACAGAAGGTCAGTGACGCATCATTTGTCTATATCAAATGCTGATCATATATGCTCCATTAAATTCTCATAAAGATGCCCGTGGTTGGGTACGTGCTGATTTTCCATTGCACACAGTATCAGAACCCATTGACCCCAATATACTTACAGCTTCGGGCTCTGGAAGGCAAGTCTATTGATACTAATTTGGACACCTGAGCTGAACTGCTGTCCAGGTAACAAAGTCCACATGCGCTGACGTGAGTTCCAGATCCTTGAAAGTGATCAGGCGTTCTTATCGCGTTTCTAGACTATATACAACGCGATAAAAGCGGGCTACCGCCTTCTTGATGGTGCCGGTGACTACGGAAACGAGAAAGAGGCAGGTGATGGTGTGCGCCGGGCTATTGCGGACGGCCTCGTCAAGCGGGAGGACCTATGTGAGTGTTTCTCGCCCTTGAACCAGCTCATCAGTTAATTTGCTTTTCATAGTCATTACGTCCAAGGCAAGATACTTTCTCACACATATTGCACTACCACAATAGCTCAGTGCATCGTTGTTTCATAGCTATGGAATACTTTCCATGCTCATGATCATGTCAGTTATTTCGAGCAATGTGTGATGCAGCTCATTTCTGACTGATGAATCAGGTTAAACAAATCACCAAGATGCAACTTAAACTCTGGGGAATTGACTACTTCGACTTGTTCCTCGTCCACTTCCCCGTCGCACTGAAATACGTCGATCCCAGCCACCGCTACCCCCCTGAGTGGTTCGGTGACGATGGCAAGGTCTACACTCGTAAGTTATGGGTTACGATCGACGTATCTCAGATTCACATCATACCTCAGAAAACACCCCGATGCACGAGACTTGGGGTGCAATGGAGGAGCTCGTTGATGAGAAGCTGGCGAAAAATATTGGCCTGAGGTGATTGTTGCGAATTAAGTTGTACAGTGCGGTTTGGTGAACACCCTCCAGTAACTGCCAGGGGTCTTTAATCCTTGACGTTCTCCGTTATGCCAAGTACGAGCCCCAGGTATTGCAGGTTGAGCTGCACCCATACCTTACCCAAGAAGCCCTCGTCAAACTTTGCAAGACGTTCAGCATTGCCGTGACTGCCTACTCGTCGTTTGGGCCCCAATCCTACGTCGAACTTGGTGTTGATAAAGGTGCTCCTTCGCTCCTCAAACACGACGTGACCTCCACTGCGGCCAAGACGCACGGAAAAAGTGGGCATGCAATATCATTCATCTGTGACGGGACCTGACGTAAGATGATTCACAGCCGAAGCTCAGGTTTTGCTGCGTTGGGCTACGCAGAGAGGCATTGCTGTCATTCCAAAGTCCAACGATCTTGGCAGATTGTCAGCAAACTTGGACTGCAACTCTTTCGACCTCTCGGAATCCGAGCTTGCAGCCTTGAGTGCACTGAATATTAACCTGAGGGTGCGTGTGTACTCAAGGTGCTTGCATGACAACTGATCTAGATTTGCTCCACAGTTGAATGACCCCGCTGACATCGATGGTCGCTTGGCCATCTTCGCATAGGGGCGTGATGGATAGAAGTGTAGAACAAGTGTAGAATGCTGGAGAACTGAGAAGACGGATCATATTACCTGGATGGTGACATTGTAGTTCACTTGCTGCGGGCGCAAGGGGCCGCAGTGCTGTCGGAGTTTCAAAGCGGCTTTATCTCCTGATAGTTAGTAACATTGCACAATTAGCGCCTTCCTTTCATCCCCCATGGCTACAATTGCACAATTCAAGCTTTCGAAACAAGGCGGGCTCACTCGTCGCCTGACATTCCCTACGCATCCTAGTTGGGCTGTTCTATCCTCAAAGATCAATGAAACGTTCGGTATTGCAACCGATAATATTGGGGTGTCCTACCTTGACCAAGATTCGGACGAAGTAACTTTCAGCTCTGAAGAGGAGTTGCAGGACTACTATAGTACCCTCGGTGACGCCAAATTCAAACTTATCCGACTTTCGGTACAAGACCTCAGCTCCCTTAGGTCCACTGATGTAGCGCCCTCCCGCCACCATACCGCACCCCCACAGCAATCTCACTTCCGGAACACATTCGGAGAACAGGAGTCGCTACCTTTCATTTGGGAGGTCGATGACGAATGGCAGCGTCTCCCTGGTAGCCTTGGTAGTCTTTTCTTGTCTAGTGACTCTCCGGAGAGCCCGCACGCGTTTGTGGAGGTTCTCGAGAGTGACGTCAGTGTCTCCAAGAAGTCTAATCACACAGACGAAGAATCCGCCATTGGAGGTACTACCCGCTCAAACGGGACGTTTACTATGCCCACTTCCCGCGCAGACAAGGGCAAGTCCCGCGTCGCGATGCAGCCTACAGTTGAAGACGATGCTTTGTCCACCGATTCAATTTTCGGCGACGATGCATTACTGCAGCCACAGACCCGTGTTTATGACTCTGATCAAGCTTCCACATTTGGCGGTGATGGCAAGTCTCCTGTCTCGGTCGATGGGACAGCGACTCCCGCCCAGGCTCAGAGTACCCCCGTAATTTCTGGGCAGGTTCTTCCTGAGGCTGTGCTGAAATCCACCGAAGATTCCAACACAGCCATTGTTGACGACCCTGCCCTCCCCACCTTGGACGGCACAGGAGCATCAACTCTCACTCATGACGTAGCTGCCTTCTTGAAGGCAGTTTCCGGTATCATTTCCTCCCACCCAGAATTATCAGAGGGTCTTCGCAACATCGTTTCCAATGCTACAAATGGGACATACTGGACTGCGCATCGTGATGCACTCTCTCACGCTGCCGAGCGTATTCAGCAGGAAACTGGTCGGACCGTGGAAGAGATTCAGAATGCGGAAGAAGAGGCTAGCGCCAGGGTTGCAGATGCCCTTGGTGGAATTTTCCGTGTCATCGGCGAAGCCGTCCAAACTGCTAGGATAACGACTGAGCCATTCCGGCCACCTCCCGCTGAAGATGTACCCACAGCTCCGGAATCTGCTCCTGAGCCCCAGTGCTTCCGTCCTCGCGAATTTACCACATATCCGGGACCTCCTCCTCCAGGTCATTTCCACCCTCATCCTCATCATCACTGGGGCGCTCCCCCGCCGCCGCCGCCTGGTCGCCGTCATGTGTGGCCTCGTCCGCCTCCATCCGCTCGGGGTTCTTTCAACGAGCCCCAGGAGGATAGTTCACATCCTCGTCCGCCTCCAAGCTTTTGGGGTACTTTTAGGGGGCCCCAGGTTGGTCCGCAAGTGGATCATCACAATGCAATTCGTGCAAGGACGAGTGACATCCGCACCACGTTGGCAGAAGCACGCAACCGGCGTTTGGGAAATCTAGGGCTGGCCATACCGGCCATCCCTCCTCCCATTCCTAGCGCACCCCCTGCGCCACCTGCACCCATTGTACCACCCCCTCCTGTACTGGAGGGTGGATTATCTGACTCCAGCATATTCGGAAGCACTCCACCCACTCAAGAGGAGCTCAGGGCTGATGTTGAACGCGCCAAGGCCGATTATAAGATGCGCAAGGAGAGGTATCGTCAAGCCAAGGCCAGCAGGAAATCAGCAGAGCAACGCGAACAAGGACAGGAACCTAGTGGAAGGTATTTCGCTTCTCTTCTTCATAGTTATCAGGAGGATATTAAATCGCATCTGTAGCAATGATATCTCCGGGCTACCTGCCGTTTTCGATATGACGGAGGATCCCAACGTGAGTGGCGCAGATACATCTGTGTCTCAAGGGCCTCCTGTGGCAACCCCAGTCCATGAGCAGATGTCAGGACCTCCATCCACAGCCGTGCCTGCGCCCTCTCAGCCTGTCACACCTGCTGCACCTCAGGTTCATATCGTAAGCAATGCTAGGGGCTTGTACCCCCAACTCGAGATGTTCAGTGTCCCTAGGCGCAGCCACACCATCGGACACACTGCACGCCGCGGCCTCGAGGACCGTTCCAGGCAGCGCATCATGAAGAAATTGTCTGAGGTATTCCTCTTACTATTTTCTGTCTCTTCGATATCTTACGAAGGGTTTTTGTAGATGGGTTTTACTGAAGGCACATATCCGAAACTGAACACCAAGGTGTCGGAGCAGATGGTCGCCCATCCTCCCACTACTAAAGACATCGAAGATGACATTGTGACTAACTTGATTGAGGAGCTTATTCCTTCCTCTTTTGCACCTCGGGCTGGCAGCTCTAGGGAGCCCATCCCTGGTGCTTGGGCCTAGATGTGATGTGATGTTGTACGATGTATGATGCGGACTCTTGACTGTATTCTTGGGTTTTAGTCTGATTTTCTGACTGTTGTATTACGAGTTCTTACATTCTGATTAGTTATGCCAAAGTTATATCGTCGGTACAGTACTTGTAAATTCAATATGTTTGTGCAACGTTTGTGACTCTATTGTCTTTTGATGTCCTCGGAGGCCATAATTATTTATTGACTTCAATCATTGTCTTTTGGTCGGATCTTACAGACACAGAAGAAAATCACAAGACCATTAAACCTAAGGCGCTGCAATCGGGCAATAGCGGGTCGCTGGGTGCTCGTGGACAATGCACACGGGGTGAGGAACACTAGGCTGCACCTCGTGCACCGTGATGAAAGACCGCGATGAGACTAAACAAACCATTGGGCTTGCAAAGAACAATTGTTGGTTAATATTGGGGATGTTAAATACACAAAATTCAATCGTGCGCCATGTCGGGCCCGAGACATAAAACTGGTATTTTCAAAGAAATCCTGTATGAAAATATGTGAATGCAGAAAGCATGGTTTCTGATGAGACATTACCTGATATTGCGGACAGTTTTTTTGGTTTCCTGGAAAGTGACGAGCAAGCACAAAGCAAGAGTCATCAGCAATTTGTTTCCCGCCACGGCAAAAATTGCTTCCGGAGAACAATTCATGTCCGCAATATCAGGTAACTTATGCTTCACTTCAAGGAGGCGACCCATACATGCACTCACGCTGCTTTGTGCTGACCAGCTCGTCCGTGTCCGAAGGAAATGTTTTTGTTTTCGGAATGCGCCATGGTGGAACGTTCCGTGACGAGCATGCGTCTTTTCCCCTTTCTGTGATTACAGGCACCTATAGAAGAGCGGTATCGGCTTTGCCCATAACATTGTGTCAACCTGCTATGTTATGGAGGTGCCCACTGGAAACTTGCGAACGTACGAATAATCCTTTATTATCGTGGTACTTTGAACGAATATAGGTCGCGTCTTCCTGGTATCCGATACGCACTGCGCTCTTTGAAACGCGCTGCATGACCGTCTTTGCCGGGTAAGTGCAGCTCTTTCCAAGCTCTTTTTCTGCGTAATGATCTTCTAGACTGAAAGGCATAATCCGCTGCTTTCCCAGCACAAATAAAGTGAATTTCGGGCGCCCACAAGGACAAACAACACGCTTTGCCTGTGAAACAGGCCACCAACAGGTCACCTATCGATTGCCAATGATACCAGAAAATCGACGTGCCACTGTGGACCGTATAAAGCCACATTGTCTGTGTCTTCTCGTTCTTCAGCCGCTACATTATCAGAAACTAAAATTGTTACTCTGCTCGTTTTCCCTCAATCTTTTATCCATCCCAACTATCTTACAATAATCCGCACTTCATCATGTCATTTTACCCCAAACCAACCGCAAAGACAGTTGACGCCGTTATGTCAGACCTCAACCCGGTTCGACCGGCTCCGTTGGTATGTAACTTCGTCTCGTCTTTCTGTGAATTGCTTACAAAGTGTGCAAACAGCATCCTGTGCTTGATGCCGTCGAAATGCATATGACCGTGCCTCTGAACCGGTGGCCCAAACATGCCATCATGGGTACAGCAGATTACAAGAAACGGCAGGAATTTCTCATGTCAGACCATCTGAAGAAGCTTCCTCCGCCCGGAACAATAGACACCTCTGCCAAGGATATGTTGCTTTCTACAATGTTCATGCACAAGATGGCGCAAATGCAGCGCGTCATACAACGTCAGGGCTCGGCCGCGAGTGATGATCCCCGTTACATTTACCTTTATGACGACATGCGCTTCAAACGTAACATCTTTTACTGGCGCAATTTTCGTATGAATGACTTGCCACCCGAAATCATTACGCACATCTTTCGTATCGCTGTTTGGTCAACCAGTACCCCAGATGAAGGCACGCACATTCGCATATTACTCACTTCGGTATGTGCCAAATGGCGCAGGTTGATGATCGAAGACTGCACCCTTTGGAGTGCTATCTGGTTCCGCGATCCTCCTCCGTATGAACGGTCGATGGAGTGGTTCAGGAGGGCAGGTGGTGCACCGTTGGACATCCGCATCAACGAGCATGATGCCGACTGGAAGTCTAAAGATGATGATTGGAAGTACAAGGAGGACGATCATCGATTTACTACCGAACAGATGAAAGAGCTCATGGACAAACTCCTTGTCAAAGTCTCTCAGATTCGCATGCTTGTGCTTGTTGTTGACAACTGGCCTCCTGCACTCGTAGTTTTGAACAAGTTGCAAGAAGCGGCTTATGCTGGGAAGGCCATCAACATGGAACGTTTAGAAATTCATAGGATGGGACAACCTGTGGTATGGCTCGGGCCAGGACATACACCTTCTGTTCTTTTCGGTGGCAAGACTCGGGCCTTGAAATATCTCTGCCTCCGCGGCATTCATATTGACTGGAACGCGACTCCACTTAGCAACCTATCTACCATCGACCTCAGGAAAATTGCGATGGATGTTGCGCCAACATTGAATCGCTTTCGTGAGGTTCTCCTTGCTTGCCCTCGCTTGCAGAAGTTGTCTTTGGACGGCGCAGGCCCGCAACCCAGCGCTAAAATGCCCGATCACATTCCAATTAACCTTCCCTACCTGAAGGTTCTCATTATAGGCGGCTTCAGCATGGTGTACTCGTGCTACATTTTATCTCAGTTCAAGGCACCCAACGTTCGCGATCTGACGTTAATGAACCTGTCAGGCGAAGATTATACTACAATGATTGCTGCCATAACTGCTCGGTACAGGGAGCTGCGACTCCTGACGCTCTACACAGTCAACATTAGTCCTACAGAGAAGGGGACGAAGGCGATGGTGAGGTTCCTATACGCGATACCTTACCTGAGCTATCTACGGATCGCCTCCATGAACTGGCATGTCATAGAGGCATTTAACGAAGACCCTCGAGAATATGGACTTGGGAAAGACGCAGACACTCAGTCGTTCCCGCAGAACCGTCAAGTTCTGTGTCCGAAACTTCAGACGTTAGAATTCCAGCAATTGTCTGGAACGAAGATAGCGGAGTGGGTGGCTAGGAGGAAGGAGCTGGGCGCCCCACTGAGGAGGGCCTATGTGAATTCTCCGTACGTCGACAACGTAACTGCGGAGGAAGCGGACATGATCCAACAGGTCGTGGGTCTGTTCATCGCGCCTCTGGGATCCACTACCCCTGAGGAGAGGGCGTTGGCAACTTGCGATCGTTATGGAGAGACGATCTAGAGAGGGAATTATTTATTGGAATGATATATTCTGTAGCGACATACATAGGAAAAACATTTGTACACCATAATTTACCATTGCAATCTATCATCTCTTGAAGTTGAAATGTGATGTATCATTGAAGCGACACGTGACCTGAATGTTTAGGTCACGTGGTTACGTGTCTTATTTGAACCATGTCGCGTAACGCGTATTGAACAGATCAAACCTTATGACCCTACATCTGCAAAACGACTGAAATGAACGCTTAACCTACGCGCGTTACGAACACTTACGAACACTTACGACTTCAGTAGCGAACTCAGGCGATTGGTGGAGGACTCGGACGTCGAATTTACGTCGTAAACTTTACGGAATTCGATGTGATTAGATGTGAAAGATTATTATTATCAGCGCGTCGTACTACTGAGCTAATGGTTGGCCACTCGGAGGCCAACCTGTTGCTGTACCCCATCAAACCTCGCACTCAAGACATCCGAAGCACGAATAGTTCGAACGATCGCCATGATATCTTGGTATGCATCGTCGAACGTGGCCGAATTCACTGACACGTCAGTGAATCGGCCTGTGCGATGTGCATATAGCACACAATAGATCGCAGCGCCGCAGGATGCGAACACTCGGTCCATTGGGCCTTCCAAGTTGGCGTCCCAACCTCCGATCAACACGTCGATAACCATGTTGACGAGGACCTCGTTTTCGAGTAGCCGTTCGATATCCACGTCGTCGACAGTCTGCAGGTGTGAGTGAGAAACAGTCCCGCTGATGATAAAAAAACGGGTACCTGCTCATACAAATGTAGGTACCTCCCTCCGTCTAGCAGTGTTTGGATTGTGTCCCGTTTGTGCGCCGCCTCGTCGAGCAGGGAAAATAAAGGTAGGCGGAGGCTGTAGCCTAGCGGAACGGTATTGAGCGCATGTACTTTGAGAGCGCGTCGCATGTCTGCTAATGAAGCCACCATGTAGTTATGTATACCTTTGATGTTCTCGATATCCACTAGTAACTTATCAGTAGTAGATGATTTCGAAACAAATAAAACATACCTTGACCGTAGAGCTCAATTCGTGCGTTTTGCAGCGCGGTTTCGATCATCGTGTTGCGCATTGCGTCATTCGGAGCACCGTCAGTATTAGCAGCCACCGTAACGATCAAGCCCCGAAGTTTCTCTTTAGCGAGCTCCTTATACTGTCGCACCTCTTTTGAATCGAGTGCGATGCGCGTCGAAATAGGTGCTGCAGGCTCCTCGGGCGCATTGGCTACTGGTATCATGGGTGTGGGAGGTAGGTTCGTCTTTTGTCGTCGTCTCCCGCTGTCCGAAACGTGTTTTGTGCGCTGTATAGTCACTAAGTTAGTATTCAAGCTCGGAGGAATGATCACTTACACGAATAACGCCTTGGGTTTGCTCCCCACGGACGTTCTCTCCCACATGGTAGGGTGCAAGGGCAATGAGTCGCGAAACCCCCCATGGGGCCATAGACCCGCTCCCGAGATCTGGTTGTGACGGCAGCCTTGATCCTTCACCCTGGAGAAGTGCGAATGCGCCTGCATACGCCTGCGACTGCGCCGTACCCGTGTTCCATTCGTGGCGTTGATGCTGCTGGGGCTCATACCGCTGGTGAGCTTGATACTGCTGGGGAGGTTGGTACTGGGGCTGCGGCGGCGGCTCATACTGCTGGGGAGGTTGGTACTGGGGCTGCGGCGGTGGCTCATACTGCTGGAGAGGTTGGTACTGGGGCTGCGGCAGCGGCTCATACTGCTGGAGAGGTTGGTACTGGGGCTGCGGCGGCGGCTCATACTGCTGGGGAGGTTGGTACTGGGGCGGCGGCGGAGGCTCATACTGCTGGGGAGGTTGGTGCTGGGGTTGGTGCTGATGGGGTGGGGGCGGCAGATATTGTGGTACCGGTAGTTGATACTGTTGGGGCTGAGGTGCCGTTGACGCTTGATGGGAATGCGTGGGATGCTGCATGGAGGGATTCATCTGAACCTGGTATTGTTCAGGCGTTTGTACGCGATCACCGAGTAGGTTGAGTTGAGTGATGACTGGCTGCCCACTGGGGTTGAGTTCTGAATTGACTCCAGGCCGGAAACCTTTCTACACGGCAGTCAGGAAAGAAGAGCGAACAGAATTTAGATCGTACGTACTCTTGCGGGGTTGGGCTTTCGCCTGCTGGTAGTGGAATTGGCTGGAGGATTGCTCATCGATGCTCGTGGTGTGAATCCACGTTAGTTATCTGATCTTACCCAATGCGAACGTACTCATCGATCGCCAATCAAACGAAAGCTTCTGTTATTCAGAGCGCTAAAATACAACGTATAGAATTGAAAAAGATCATGATCAGGGGTCTCGTGATAGGAACTCAGAACCTGCCAGGAAAGTAGTGAATTGAGTCAAAAAAGGATTGTAATTGACGCCGCCGGCCCATCTGTCCGCACTCCGTCCTCGTGGACAACGTTCAACCTGAAAGGGTAAGTTTGTAAGTTGTTTCATTTTAGGGTAGAGACGTGGCTACCTTCCGCCTCGTCATTGTCCGAGTTGCTACTGTTGTCGCTATGATTATACTTGTCATATTGTTCCTCCTCACCAGGTTCGTACTCCGTATCGCTACTGTTCTGGGGGAACCTGTGGGAGACATATTTGGTAGCAAGCGATGATATGGACGACATTTGGAACAGCTGTTCGTCGGCTGTAGCTAAGTCTTCGAGTTCGCTATCATGTGACTCCGCAAGGCATTCGACATCCTGGTCTAGGGCCGGAATATCCCGGTCCACCAGGAGCTTCTTGAAGAGGTGATAATCCGAGTCTGCCATTTTCAAGCGCTGCTTCTCCTCGTCCTCAAATGCTATGAGGACTAGCTTGTTGAGTTTCGCCTCTTCGATCTCCCAACCGAGTTGCAGGAGTTTTTGACGGCTATTTTCTCGTGCAGCGTGCTTAGCATTTGCTACTAATTTGATTGTATCATCTGAGAAGGATGAGAGACCGCTCAAAAAAAGGTCTCGCCCCTGTAACAGTCAAATACACCATAAATAATCAGTTATTCAGTGGCTTCAATACTTGCTCGCCTTAATGACATCATTAAGAGTGATGTCAGAGTGATGATTTCTTCGGACTGCCTTCATGGCAAAACGCAGCCCGACTTGGGTGGGACGACGTGTGAAAGGGTGGCTTCTGTTTGCAGAACGCACTCCCCGCCGGGAGCTGCGAGAGCTGCCAATAGGGGACTCGTGACCAGAGCGAATTGAGTTTGAGGAGGAGGTCGCTGAGCGCGAGAAGGGGACAGAGTCTGAATGTGGGAGGTCTGTGGTCAAAGCAATGACCTTCTCTTCCGCTGATTTGGAAGGGTTGGAATTACAGAGGGACTCAACACGAGTCCATCCGCTAGATCCTGACATAGTAGATACAGATGACGAAATATGAAGGGATGGGGGAACCATAAGTACAGCTGGATGTGTATCTGCTACTATCTTAGCAAGCAGTGAGGCAACAAACCAAGTGGGTCGGAGTTTGAAGAAAGTTGAACGTTGAATCCTGGCAGGAGCACGATGGAACAGGCTGACTCGGGCTGCACTGCAGCTGGACTAGAAATACTACACGATCACAACGGGTGAGTTAGGCCGCATCAAATAGTAGCAGTGACTGACTGACTTCATCACGCTGACTTCATCACGATCAGTAGTTCCTCTGCAAGATGCCCGAATTGCAGACTAGAATTCGTCTCAAATCTCGCTGTTTTGGATCATCTCAATGATCCGGTGCATTCTTGTTGGAGCAACGAACCCACTTACCGCTTACCAGTTCCTCCAGCTTTCCAACGAGGCGATAGCGGCCAGGAAGAGGTAACTGGCCAGTATCATTCAAAATCAGGGTACCTTTTTGGTCGGGGACACAATATCTTGCAGACAATGGAGGATCATGATCCTGACCAAAAGCGCCGCAGAGCAATAAATCCCTCATACCCATTTGTCGATCAGGCTGAATGGCAGCTAGCAGAATTCATCGTGCAGCGGCTGACCAAAACCGACATTAACAAGTTTCTGAAACTAGACTGGGTGAGTAGCATCCGCCTTTGCAGTTCCACACTGTGGCTAACAGCCTGAACTTCACCTAAGTTTAAAACTAGTAGATCCCGACCATCCTTCAAGAGCGCAGATCAACTATTTGGCTGGATTGATGTATTGCCAAGTGGCCCTCAGTGGCAATCAACGACATTCGAGTTTATCGACTACACAACTGCGAGGCCAATGGAACTCATCTGGCGTGACGGTCTTGAAGTCGTTAAAGATCTCTTTGCAAACCCGATATTTTCCAATCACATGATGTACGATCCCCACCTTGTTATGACTGGCTCAGAGCGTGAATACGGCGAATTCTTCACTAGTGAGAGGGCTTTCACCATTCAAGTATGGATCTTTGAATAAACGAAATTGCTCGCTAATCTTTAACAGAATGACCTTCCAGAAGGCGCCACTATAGTACCAATCATTCTTGCATCTGACAAAACGCCCGTAACCAGGATGACAGGAGGATTAGAAATGCACCCAATATTCCTTACGATTGGCAATATTCAATCCGAAGTTCGAATGAAGGCCACCGCTCATGCATGGCGTTGTATCGCATTTATCCCAATTCCGAAGTTCGATGCTCACGCAGACTATCAAACGCTCCTCCATGCCCGTCTCTTCCACAAATGTATGGACACGATATTCGCCAGATGCAAAGTTGCCACAAAGATTGGTGAATACATGGCAGATCCCATGGGTTATATCCGGCACTGTTTTACTCCGCTTGTCGCCTACACAGCCGACCTTCCTGAAGCACAGCTTGTTGCTTGTGTCTCGAAGAACGCATCACCAGTCACGATGGCCACTCAAAGTGACTTCGGTAGTGCTCATATCTATCCCCCTCGAACAGGCCAACACACGCTCACGCTCATCTACGACCTATCCAAACGCATTGATCCATGGAGTGTACCGCGCTTCCAAGTCGAAGCTAAATCGTTGATGCTTAGTGGCGTCCATCAACCGTTTTGGAGAGATTGGAGGTTTGCGGATCCTGGTTATATGTTGCCTGGCGAACTCCTTCACACCTGTCATAAGTTTTTTGGTGACCATGCTCTAAAATGGTGCAAGGAAGTTGTTGGGGAGGAGGAACTCGATGCGCGTTACAAGGCTCACCATAAACGAGTCGGAACACGTCATTTTGGCTCTGGCGTCTCCCACATCAGCCAGATGACTTGCCGGGAACATCGCGACATTGAACGCACCATGATTGCCACTATCGCTGGCGCGACAAATGCAACCCCCGATTTCGTTCATGCTATACGTGCCCTCACCGAGTTCTTTTATCAGGCACAGAGCCCCGTGCACACCGACTCATCCATCGCTTCTATGGTTCAGTCCCTCGACGAGTTTCATCGCTTAAAACAAGGCATCCTCGATGCCGGTGCTCGGAGAGGCAAGCGTGGAACCATCGACAACTTTCTCATCCCAAAGTTGGAGTTGTTTCACAGCTTTGCTGGATCTATCAGAGCTCTCGGTGGTTTGATACAGTACTCAGCAGACGTCAGCGAACGGCTGTTGATTACTCACTGCAAGTTTCCATTCGAAAGGACCAGCCGGCAAGCCAAGAGTTTTACTTTACAGGTTGTTCAAATTCTCAATCGCGACGAAACCATGCAGCGTTTCAATCTTTACACGCTCCTGCAGACGCATGGCGCACCGCTCGTTAATGCCATTGCTGCTGAAGATGATATCGTCGCAGAGACAGATCCTACCTTGGCATGGATAGCCCGCACGCTCCCAAGTCAGCAGAAGCGCTTCCATGGTCCACGTCCAGTCCGCAACCACTTCATAACAGGACTTCTTTCTGCAGAAGCTACTGCTGCATTCCATGTCACGGTCGCACCTGATCGAAAATCATTTACCGTCCCCGATCTGCAGTACACCTACGCCCTTCCTGACTTTGCTGTGGCGCTCACTGAGTATATTAGTAAGTCATCCCAGGGTGCCCCAACAACATCGTGGACCTGTCGGGGAGGTTCGGTTAGGACGTGGAACAAGTTCCGCATACAACTCCTCTCCAACTTCCAGTCACGAGTTGTCATGCCAAGTCAAATCGTCCAGTCGTATCCGCCCTCAGAGGCATTCCCTTTTGGGAATTGTGACGCAGTTCTCGTACAATTAACTGAGAGTAATGGTAAGATTTTTACTGCGGTGCCATTCAGGTGCTTACTACTACAACCTCTGCAGACGTCTACATCGCACAAGTGCGTTGCGTTTTCCAACCTACCGCCAAGAAAGGCCGTACTTTGCCTCGCTATCTTGAAGCTGCACCTCTCTTATACGTTCAATACTTCCAGATCAAAGCCACGCCTGCTGACGAGCCAAGCGTTGGGATGTACAGGGTGAAACGAATCTTTCATCAGGATGAGACAGGTCGGATCTTCCGACCTGGCAGCATCATTCCACTGACGGCTGTTACTTGTGCCGTCGAGCTCGTCCCTGTGTATGGTTCGAAGATGAATCGCACGATAACTGCTGCAAACTCGTTAGAGGTCTGTGATGATTACTACCTGAATAAATTTTCAGACAAGGAGGTTTTCCATACGATGCACACAGATCTAATGTAGATTTTTTGCGTATTGCCTGTAGTACTAGTTCTGCAATTCATTATCTGCACACCTGATCAAGTTTAGATATGATAATCTTGCACCGCTTGTGTCATTCAGTTGTCATTCAGTTCCCCGTTCGCATTTTGGCCTAGTTAGTTACTTAATGCAACTCGTCCGAGACTAGGCCAAATAGGGATCGTTGAACGATGCTTTCGCGACGGTTTCAGATATCAGATGTACTTCACACTGTCACCACCACCAGCACACAGCAAACGTATGTGCTAAGTACATAATCACACATAGTACATTTCCATCCTTGTATCACCATGCCCCCACTTCAACGGTCTGCCTCTTCCTCAACGATCTCGACTGTAACTCATTCAAATACGTCTATTGCTGATACGTCCATCTCGGAAGCAAAGCCTCCTGTTAGTACACATGTACCCTATGTCAGACGACGCAACACTCCTCAGCAACTCAAGGCTCTCCAGCAACTACTCGAACTGTCTCACCATCCAACTCGGGAGCAGCGCCTCGCTTTGGCTATGGAGTTCGGGATGTACGTTGATACGATACGAGTAGTAATAGACCTTGAACTGACCTGTACTTCAGGGAACTCAAGTCTGTGACCAACTGGTTCCAAAACAAACGCCAGACAGAGAAGAGAAAATCCCTTATCTGGAATGAGAATAATCCTCCAAAAATTCACGCACCTCAATCGCGTCATCTGAAACAGCACCGTTCTAATAAATCCATATCTTCCTTCTCTGTTTCGCTTGATAAAATCGCTCAGTTATCTGAGAGACCCTCATCACCGTCATTACTCCTATCCGCCAATCAAGCACCTCCCACTCCTTTCACTCCACGGACTACTAACGTCCGTGCCCAATCGTCTCCAAGTCCTTCGGAGTTATGGAAACACATCCCATCATCCCCCGTTGTTCCGCAATCATCCCCAGGTGCTGAGGAAGCTAGACTGGCTGGCCTTCCCTCACGATCAAAGACCTGGCGTTCGTTAGAATGGGCCTGTCTCAAAGCGAGGCGAGGCAAGCGGGTTGACGATGGAGAAGAGGAAGACGACCTCCCTTGTCTCCCCTCTTTGAGTCACGGCGGTGGCTCAGATGACGGGTCATATGAAGCCCTCACCCCTGATTCTAGTGTCCGATGCATCAACCTCTCTCCCCAGAGCAATTCTCCCTCGTGCTTTAGTGGAGAGGAGAACAACAAAGGCCTGTTTTCTGACTTGAGGAAGCCTCCCCAATCAGAGGATGTCGAAGCTGCCTTGACGCTCCTTGGTTTTATGGCGCGTCGTTAATATTTTACCATCAGTAATTCTATACCTTTCTCTTCGTGTGCAATACCTACTAAGGAAGCTGTTGTATTTCAGTCATTATTCGGTTTTTATTTGATACCTACGAGATGTTTGCTTTACTGCATCATACTTTGGCATCCATGGCATGTATACAATTATTTATATCTATTGCACCTATTCTTTTCCAGTCAGCATGAGCTATATAGAATGAAACCTTTCTAGTCGGTTGGTTAATTTTGTCCACGTGACCGCGACGCGTTGGACTTGTTAGCCGCTGGGTCGTGTAACAGTGTTGCTATTGCACATTTCTTTGGACCATCATTCTACTCTCACATCTCCCTCACAGCCTATATTACTTCTAATAACGCACATCTCTATGACATCTACTACCCGTGCCACTCGTTCAACGCGACGATCCAAGACCCCGACTCCTAATCAACACAAAGAGAACATGATACCCGTTCCGCAGCCCGACGCCAGTCAGCCATCACCAGAAGCAGAAGCAGAAATACGGATCGATTCTCCGAGGAAGAGGCACCGCATGTCACCCACACAGCTTATGCGTCTGGAATCGCTCTATCAAAAAGACACGCATCCGTCAAGGCACAGGAAGAATCAACTTGCAGGCGAGCTTGGCATGTAGGAGGCTGTCAGCAAACTTTCTCGCCACACAAACCACTTACCTCGGTAAACAGGGACTACAAAACCATCACGATCTGGTTCCAAAACAAGCGGCAAATGGCAAAACGTAGTCAACCGAGCGCGCCCTGCTTACCGCTTCAGATACGGAATGTCGTTTCCCAAACCCTGGATCACCAGCTTCCTGTGCAATCTCTATCAGTGCTCCGGCGTGTCTCCTCGCCATCGGTAAACGATACTCTACAGCCCATGATTCTGCCATCTGTTTGTTCTGAAAACTTGAAGTCGCGCATAACACCATCCCCGCAAGAACAAGAGAGCGATGTCAATCATGATCTACCGAAGAAATCACTGCAGGTCAAACCTCTCCTAAACTCCTTGGGTTCATTGATGTCTTCGAAATCACCCAAGGCTTTGCACGAAAAAGACCAAGCACAACCGACAGCAGGAAGTACAACCGGCGTCCAAGAACTGTGGCAACACCTTCCTTCATCACCAACAGCTCCAAGTTCAGCGTCCGACAGAGGGTATGAAGTTCGTAGCCCTACCCGCGATAAAAAGGACGTACGATATAGCAAGAGAGGCCTGACACTCGAGTGGGCTTGCGACAGACAGACGAAACGCAGACGGGCAGGAAGAGACAACGGTAGCGCCGCCGACGGCTTGAGCAGGCTCTGGCCACCATTTGGGTCCTCAAATCCACGCACCAGTTCAGCACTTTCGTTACTCTCATTTGCCGCGGGAAAGGTCAGCACGTCTTTGTCCATCAGTCCTACCCCTTCACAGGACGTGATCCACGGAGCTTCGCTCCTGTTGAGCTTCAAACATTCCTTGAGAGGACGCGATGCTGGGAAGAAGTAGGTGTAGTACTAGTTGAGAAGACAATAATTCTTACAACACGAGCATGAAATGAAACACAACACAACATTCCTTATATCAACAACAGTATAGAAACTTGGCTACATCGGCAACATGCGAAGCGTGAGGGTAAAATGCAACAACGGCTTAAAAATAAAATGCGATGTGCTGAAACAACAATCTCGATGAGGAGTCCACGCGCCTGGATGACATACACCTTGTGCCCGATAATAGATATTTTATATTCAAACTAGAGAATGTCTACTTCTTTTTTTGCCAGTCTTGGCTGGCACAGACGGCGTGGAAGCTTGCTTTTTGGAGGATACATTAGGGTTCGGCTTTTGGGAGACAACTGTTCGGGGTGCAGGTTTCGCATGATGGGAAGATGGAGTAGTTGGGAGTGTCAATGCGACCGGACGAGTGTCGGAATGGAACGGGTAATCAGGCAGACCTTTGGATAAATCCGTTGAGTAGCCGTTCACAAGAGACGACTGAGTGAGAATAATTTACCTGTGATGTCCTTGAAGAATGGTATAAATGTGTCAAGGATGTCATCCTTCGATACTTTGCCCATCTCTATAAAAGCGGGTTCTTCGATGTCCATAGGTTCAGCAGTCATTTTATCAGCAACACCCTGAATGCCACTCTGATGCTCTTCGTCCACATTTTCCTTTAGCCGCAGCTTGAGGAAGCCGTTGATCAACGGCTCGAACAGACTTTCCATCGGCGGCATGAGGTAAGCAGGGGCATCAAAGACACTTCCCGTCTCACTGCTTTTCCAGGGAAGGGAGGTATCGATTGTCGACGATACAGCATTGTGAGAGACGTCGGTAAGAGCCGGTACACCAAACATCTCCTCAAAGAGAGACCCCTTAGGCACCGCCAGCCCTTTCTGGAGTGCTTTCGTTGACAAACTTGCCTCATCGGTTATGTTGATGTCGTGTCCTAGAAGCACGACACCGAAAGCATGCGTAATTCCCACAAGAGAAAACTTCCGGCTGCGAGCGAAGCGATTTGGAACGGGGTACCAAACTAAATTCCGTATCCCAAACGGTAACGTCTGTGAAAGCAGGGGAGTCGACGACGAGATGGAGTAGACCATGAGCTCATTAGTCGTGTCTGAGGGTGAACGATGAATCGTTACGAAGGTATCTTGATAAGGATGAGGTACAAGAGTGACATAAGGGTGGTTGTGCCGACGATGCCAACGTACTGTAGTATGTTCAATGTTCAATTTGATGCAGATCGTCAATCAAGTGAAGAGACGCACCAGAGCGGTTGATAATGTCACAGACAACAAGATTGGGGCCGCCAAGAACCGCAATATACTGGCCATGATGCCCAATGAAGCGTACGGACGATATTTTTGGGCATTCTGAACACACTATTGTGAAGTGAAGTGCATTCGATATTGAATCATACAATGCCACAAAGCCATCGAGCGCAACAGCCAGAAGAGAGCCATCCGGAGACCAAGCCGAGTCTCTGGGCATCTCAAGACGGAAACCAAAAGACGATCTTGAGGTCCAGGAAACTAAAAGGCTGTCACAAACTACAGATTTGTATGAACATCTGCACATACCTTCCACATTACCCTTCTTATCCTTCGTACTCCGTATTCTCCAAGTTTTGACGTTTCTATCACCAGTGGTCACCAGCCAATTTTCATCGGACGGACTAAAAGACATAGATGTGACCTTGTTCAAGCCGTGTGGCCGGTCTACTCTGGTATTCAATATCCAAAAAGCAGACTTCTTGTCCCACCACCATATCTTGAGGTATATCTCGCCACGGAATGACTCATCTCCTTCCCGCCGGTCGATAGTCGCCATCCACTCTCCTGATGGCGAGATAACCACACGTTCTACTCGTGAGGGCTCTAACATCTTTTCTTCTTGTCTTGACACTCGATTTGAAGGCGATACCTCCAACTCTGCGACGAGCGTGGATGACGAGGGAGAATAGGTTTGTAGTGAAGAAGGATGGGAAGAGGGGAGAACGAGTGTCGATGATAGCGAGTGGACTGCAAGTGGTGTGGCAGAGGACGAAGACGCCCAGGCACTTGACGTAGCAGAGTCTGAGTTTACGATGTAATTGAGCAGTTTCATATGACATATAGAAGGACGCACCTAGTTTTATGCGAGAAAAAACTCGCGATAACTTGAGCGTGGCAGAACTGATGAATGCAAAACTTGCATCCGCCAGCCCGAGAAGGTATTCTTCTTCAGCAGCAGAACTGCGTGAGACCACAACATTTTTGATGGGAGAGCCAACTCGGGGCACGAACTCTTTCTTTCCAGAGTGCAGCTGCCATATGACGAGAGTAGCTTCTTCACCACCAGATAACAAATATGCCCCGTTCGTCGTAAACGCAACAGATGATACCGCATGGGCGTGCCAATGAAGCTCAGACGTTTGCGATCGCTTTTCT